GGTGCTCCTGGTTGCAGATAGCACAGAGTGGGATTCCTCAGCCTCCATTTCCTATGATAAATCTCTTACATCTCTCTGTCTTTTCGGTTCTGTTTCTCTGGAGAACTCGAATACACCCATCCTTTCCCCTGCCCCTATCCACCAGGTGTGACCTATCTTGAATCTTGAGTTTATCATTCCCTTTCTTTAAAACTATTTATAATCCCAGAAAACAAATTATTTGGCTTTAGCCACTTCTAACTTTATTGAAAGGGTATTATGTTGCATTTAGTTTTCTGGGACTTACTTTTTTACTCCATATCATAGTAATAAAGTTCCTGTATATAGTTGGGTGTAATTGTAATTACACTGCATTCATTTTAACTTTCGTCAATATGATACCATCATTTCATCCACTCTCTGTGTGCAGGCACTTGAAATGCATTGTTTCATTCAATCTTCATTGCAACCCTGCAACAGAAGAGGGAACCCCTTTCTACTCCTGCTCAGAGTGCCTCGACCCATTCTTTTCTCATGATCTCCGTTTTAAAGATGAAACCGAGGTTCAGAAAGATTAGGTAACTTTCCTGAGGTTACAAAGCTCACGAATGGTGACACTTGAACTTGACCTCAGAGCTTAGAGACATACTGGCTGACCCAGGTGTCTTGACCCCAGCTCAGTGGAGCTACAGGTGGTACTTCACCTTCTCCCTACTGTGCTTTCCATAATCCTCCAATGCATTGTGTAATCCCAGACACGTTCTCATGAGGCAAGCTCCAAGCCAGCTGGCCCAGCCCCAGCACAAGGGCCTTAGGTCTTCTGGAGTTATTCTGGGCCCACTGCTCTGTAGGGATCTACATGCCAGCCTGATTGGGTCTCACCTGATGGGAGGGAAGAGAAGGAGTAGGGAGTCCACTTGGGCAGCTGAGGACTTGGTGGAGCTGGGCTGTTGACTGAGCTGCCCTGTCCTCAGGCTACTCTCTAGTTTACAGTCTAAACTCTGGAGGCCTCTGCTCAGTGCGGCTTTTGGTATAGCTGCAGCCCTAGCTGTAGCTTAAAAACCAGGATGGGGCACAGGTTGACAGCTCATGGGCCAGGCCAACTCCAAGGCTTAGGTTATCCCTCTCACCCAAAACTGGGTCTTGGTGGTGCCAATCGAGGGGTAAAATGGATGCAAGGGTCCCAGCTGAGTGCCGAGTGCCTGGTATCACAGATCTGGAGGACTGCTCAGACCTGAGGCAGGGGCGAGTCAGTTCATACAGGAGAAGAAGGCAGGGCCCTGTCCTGGTGGAGGAACATGTGTATGTACTCCAGCAACTTTTATGAGTCCCTGGAATGTTATTTGTTGGTGACCACCTGACCATCCCACCAACAACTGAGGGGAGCTGTGGCTGATTTCTTAATGGGAAGCAGCAAGATGTGGAGATGAGCTAAGAGGTAGGGTCTGTTTCTGCACATTCATCTCTGGTTATTAGACAATTTTAGAGGGAACATCTGTCTACTGTGGCTCCCATATTGCAGGCCCCATTCGAGGGCCAGCTTGGCCCCGTCTCTGATTGAATGGGGACTGTTATAAATTAGAGCCACAAGAGGAACCTAGAATATGAAGTCAAAGAGCTTTGTTCAGAGCACCAAAAAAAAAAAAAGAGAAAAAAAAAGAAAGGCAATTGGGCTCCTCAGCGGACTAGCCTTCAAGGGAAAAGCAAAGAAAATGAAGGTGGTTTTGAATACACCTGGGGATGCCCAGTCCCAATTGACCCATTTATTATAAGGCACATTCTCGGACAGCACGGCTAGTCTAGGCGGGGCGTGGGAGTCACATCAAAGCACACAGCTTGAAGGTCCTTCCAAAGTCCCATGAACCTGGGCTGCGCCCCCTTATTTCCTTTCCCCCTTGGTTTTAAACTTTGACTATTTATTTTACAGGAGGAATAACTGTGTTTATAGCAGGACTTCCCATGTCCTCGCACGGTATGTTCTTAGGAGATGGACCCATTGGCTGGCTCTCAGGACAACAGGCCAATTAACTGTACAAGAGCAAAAGTTCTGTTTTCTTCTGAAGTGTGTAAAGGTTCTCATAAGAACATCAGATCAATACAATCAGTGGCTGAAATATTCATTTGGGTATTGTTTCTCTAGCCCACATTTTCGATTTCATAGCCTGCTAGATATTTCTGTGTGGACATAGCACTGGAGCTGGAAACTCACCATGTGACCTCATAATCCCTTTCCAGCTCTGAGAGTCTGGGAGTCCATGCCCTAAACTCAGAATCGCCCTCCCACTGCTACATTCCTCCTGTTCCTAGTGGTGCCAGCCCCACAGCTCTTCAAGTTACGCAGGTTCAAAAGTTCAGACCTCTCACGTCTGCTTTACTCCGTCTCCTCCCTCGCTCTTCCTGTCCAGGCTCGGGGGGCTTACCAAGGCAGCCGCACTTCTGGCGGCTTTTGCACCGTCCTGTCCACCCCAAACCATCAGCCCTCTGAGCCTGCTGGTTGTGCCTTCACAGTGCATCTTGTATCCACTCCCTCCTCACCACTCCTAGCACCTAGGACTTGGCCGAGGTGCTCAGCATCTTCTATTTGGGCCCCAGCACAGTCTCACACCGAGAGCCGTCCCTTTACAGTTCACCCTGTGTGAGAGTTGCCGTATCAGTGTTCATGAATCACAGCTCATATCACCCTCCTGCTCAAAAACTCTCACTGGGTGTGTGTCTGTGTGTGTGTTTAGCAAAGGAAGTAAGAGTTTTCACTTTAGCTTTTAAAAAATATTGTATTTATTTATTTCCCATCATCATTTATTCCCCACTGTACCATCTCCATTGCCCCCCCCCCCCCGCCCAGTCAATTACCACGCTCAAGTCCTCTTCAGTAAGGACAAACCTGCCTTCCCAGTCCTGCTTCCCCTCACTTTTCCTGCGCTCCGGTTCAACTAGGCGGTTCGGTGCCCTGCAAACACACCTACCTATGTTCTCCCCTCAGGCGTCTCTTCTTCTGCCACGTCTGTCCCTCCTTATCCCTTGTCAAATTCTATGTATCTTCAAGCCATGTTTCCACCTTTTTCGTGAAAACTTCTTGGTCCCCATTTTCTCCTGTTTCAAGGGCTCATTGTACTTTGTTTATACCCACCATAGGACAATGCATTCCTCGTCTGATAGACAGACAGACAGACGCCCAGGAACTGCATCTCACTGATCTCGGTCTCCTCTCTGGAGCCTCTGTGCTCAGCGCAGGGAGGCACATCATGCACGCTCTCTGAATGGGACAGGTCTCCCTGCTTCCATTCTCCCTCCTTGCCAACAATTCGTTTAAATAATTATCTGATAACAATGGCACTTTGTTCCTCTATAAAAATGCAAAGTTACAAAACTCTTTCACATCTGCTTTTCATGAACAGCCCTTCAAGGATGGCAGGATAGATATTATTCTCCTTGTACAGATAGGGAAACGGAAGCTCACAGAGGGAAATAAGTTGCCCAAAGCTGCAAGCAAGCAGCCTAGCCATTAATGGAACTCAGAGAAGGATCCTGATGTGCACGTGAAGGTCAAAAGAGAGAGTAACTGAAGTCCAAGCCCTCCCAAAGACCCCTTCTTCTCCTTCTTCTTCTCCCCACTTTACTGAGTGTGATGGAGATATTCTAAGCCCGCTTGGGGCACCTCATATAGGGTTACCAGGCAGGGAGCTGGGCGGGTGGTGCCGTGTGATTTCATGAGCATTTAAAACTGGAGTCTCTTTTTCCCCTTCAGCCCCAGGTACGCGAATCATCATGTGAGCACCAGCAACCGTGGAGTCCTCCTTCCTGTCCAAATTGAGCCATAACTCCAGGCTTCCTTTCAATTTGAACTACTCAGTAGATTCCGGCTGCTCATACCTCCTCAGGAAACTCAGGGATCTGGGCCTCATTTTCCCCCTTTTCTCACACTTGGAACTGACCCCTCATGTACCCATTCACTCACTCATTCATTCACCAGACTTTTCCGGAGTTCCAGATCTGTACACTGCCGTCTGTTCCACTGCCCTAGGACTCTCTCCGGCTCTTCAGTTCTAGGCAGAGGAATCCTGCTAAATTCCTAATGGGCTCATGTGCCTTCTTTCCCAGGTAATACTTGCGAGTTTGAACAGGGGGCTTCACCAAGAGAATGGGAAAGCTTTATGAAAGAATGGTGGAGGCTGAAGGTGTTTTGGATAAAAAGGATCTTTTGCAAACAGACCTCGTGTAGGACTCAGGGGGCGGGGGATGACCTATAATTTCCTTCGTTTTTCAGTGCCATTGAGAGGAAAGCTGTTTTTTCCCAAGCATATTAGTGAAAGTTTCCTTACTTTCCCTCACTGGAGCTCAGTGTGGATGCCCTCAGCAGACCTTGCCAATGTTTAACATCAGAGTTTGAAGTCAGTGGATGCGGCAAGGGAGATCCTTGGGTCTTAATTACACTTGGGACTGTGAGATAATAAATTTGGCAAAAGAAGGAAATTCAAGAGAATAACTATGTGCTGGTCCCAGAGATGTGAGGAATCCACATCCCCCTGCCTTCTCTCCCAGTGTTACTTTCTTCGCATTGAATGGATCCTGGCTGAACTGCAGGGGGACTTCTGGGGTCCCTACTGCCAAGCAGCCCTTGGGGCCAGGACTGCCTAGCCACCCCTTCTCCACTCCTGGCAGGCCGAGTGAAATAAAGGGCTTGTTGGCTCATCTCAGAGCCCAGCAGAGAGCCTTGTCTGGCAAAGGCAGATGGGTAGTGAGCAAGATGGTGTGGTATATGAGGACCACTGAGACTCAAGATCAAATCATGTGAAGGCCTTTGCAAATCCATTTTCCTTTCCGTGTGGCAAATACAATTCCTGAGGTTAGTTACCTCTTTCTTTTTTTTTAAGGGGCAAAATAATTCCCTCCACAAATTCTCCCTTTTCCCTTTTGTCCCTTTAAACACAGTGTGTGTTCTTCCGGAGGTTTTGAAACATCAGATATTGGAATCGGTACTCTCATTTTGCTATCTTTCAATATGAATGAGCCACAATGAGTGGTATGATTCACAACAAAGAATTCATTTATTTGTTCACCCTTCCCTCCCCCTAGTTTAGCAAAATAATTCAGATCCTGATTTTCTTCAACTTGCAAAAAAAAAAAAGTATTGCTTCTCAGAGTGCAGAGACCTTCAGAGACCCCACGCCAGGCTCAGCCCAGGTCCAGCTCGCATGTGCTTCTGCTCGTAGTCAGCTGCCTGCTCCAGGACTGCCTCAGTGCATAATTATATCAATGCCTACATTATTTTTTCTACTATGTAGAAGCTTAATTGGAGTACAAGAATAAATGAGAATTGCTTTACAAAAATTAGAAGGTGATAGTAAATTCTCCCGGGGCAATCTTGACATAATGGCTCATGTCACCGACTGTGGCCAATTTCAGGTCTCTGAGTAACTCCATGATATAGCTCAGAAACATCTGGTATTTTTGAATGGACAGGTCAATCAATCTTTTGGACTCAGCAATGAATTTTTCATAGTAATCAGGGAGTTGGTCTGAAAAATTCTGTAGTTTATATTTGAACTGCTGGTGGTAATCAAAAATGATTTTCTTCATCGCAGTGGTCCAGCTTTTAATTATTTCCTGAGCACTGGTAGAAAGCTCCACAATCTTTTCTTTCCCTTTTCCATCTGCATCGGCAAGGATGCTAAGGTATTTCTGGATATCTTTCTGCACAAACTGTTCAACCTCACTTGAGAGTTGGGAAGTAAAGCTAGTGGCACTGACAGTGTATCTGGAATGCAAGTCCTTCAGGATGTCTACTAACTTTTTGATCAGGTTGATTATCTTGTCTTCAAGTTCATAATATTTCATTGCACAGCTGACCACCTTTGAATCAAAATATTCCTTGCGAAGAGCCTTTATGTACTGATGGATCTGCTCTAACTCTTGAGAAGCTTCCTGAAGTTTGTTCTGAATAAGTTCATTAAGCTTACCCAGGTCAAGGTTTAGGTTTTCTTTCAGAAACTTAAAAACATATTGAGTATAACTGTTGAAGGCCGTACTGATATCATGAATGAGATTAGTAAGTTTCTTCCCCTTTAAGCGGTTCATTGCTCCTTCAATGTCTTGGAAAATATTTTGTAAATATCTCTGAAGATCACCTAGCATCTCTGTAGTGTTGTTAGACTGGAGGTCATTAAATACCTTTTGGAGCTGTTGTGATAAAGATTTCAACAGTTTTCCATACTCCAAGGTTACATCAGTTAGTTTATGACTTTTTGAATCAAAAGGAAATTTAATTTCTAGGTCCTTGATTAATTCAGATTTCTCCATCAGGTCTTGGAAGTAGGAAAACAGTATTTCCAACCCACTATGGATTTTGGAATGTACCTGGGACAGTACCCTCCCTACTTCTTTCATGACCACAGTACAGAGTTCATCTACAGTGTATGTCCTGGCCCTTCCTGGGAGCCAGAATCTGGCAAACTTCAGGTAATCAATGAATGAGCCAGTCAGACGCCTGGCTATTATTTTGTATTCCCTAGTAACTCCTATTAGGTTGTCAAGCACCGTATTTTGTAGTCTCTGGAGATCGACTTGGCCTTCCTGATCCAATAGTTCCTGGTATAGATTCTGGGCCTTGTCATTCCACAGCTGGTAGGTTCTTGTAGCATCTCTGGCCACCCTCCTGAGTTCGAGCGTCTGGTCCACCTCGTCAATCAGGCTCACCACCTCTTGATAGGTCTGCTCAGCTGTGCTCTGCAGACTTCTTCTCAGTTCCGAAGAAGCGTCTCTCAGATCAAGCCCTGTGCATTCCTTGTGGTACCTGTTGACACCGTCATAAAGGGCCTCTGTCGCCTTGGGCACGTTGTCTTTCAGAGAGGTTAGCAGTTCAGACACTGCCTCTTCTTGCCAGTTAACTTTCACCTCCAGTGTCTCATGAGATTCAGGGACAATAAACTCAATTTTGAATATGCTGAGTTTTTTATCTGGAGACGTCTAAAACCAGGCGGGGGGGGGGAGAAAGGATAAAAAGAACATGTTTTCAATTATCCTGATTACATAATATACTACACTAAAACTTCATTAGCAGTTAAAAGATCAGAGGATCTTTCATATTCTGAAGGGGATTTATCTTTGTTATGTCAGTTCGTGTGTTTGTCTTACCGTTAAACAAGCCTACTGTTGTTAATGCCTCTTTATCATGCGCCTCGGAAAGGATAAAATTATGCATGGCATTTACACAGTAACACTTAACATGAAGGCCTTCCTAGGATTGAAGATCAGAGGAGGCGGAGGGGGGAGGGGAGAAAGAGGAGAAAGAGCCTGGGAAAGACTAATTCAGAGAAAAAAAGAAGTAGCAAAAAAGGAAAATGTCCAGAATGCACCCAGCCAAAACCTACTGTAGGATACCAGCACCAGGGGCTGTTCATTCTCCAAGCCTCTGACAAACTTCAGTCACAGAACCTTATGACTTCTCATCTACTAAATCTAACGGCATCTCTGATTGGGCCCTGGCAGGGCTTGTAAAGCATAGAGCAATCTGGCATATGTCATATGTCATAAGAAAATTCTACTGTGGGGAAGCATTGTGAAGCCTCAGATACTCTGGAAACCACTACCTGAAATTGCACTCAGCGTACGGCAGAGTTTGCTCATGACTTGGGTGGTGAGCCATAACCCCCCTCTTTCTAGATATGCCCAACAGTAATAAAATAATAGTAGCAGTATGATGCCGTAGGCCCATCTCATAATTAAAATGAATCAAAGGCTCATTGCAGTGTTTCCCGGAGAATAGCTCCTCAGAGGAGGAGCATGGCCGGCTCGTCGCTGTGTTCTGCCCAGTCTGGGAAAGGCCGGAGACTGTATGTGGTGCTGACTTACATTGTACCTGCTCCAAGTCTTTCCTTGCTGCCGAGGGGTGTGACCCCTTTGGCAGGACTCACCTGAGGGCGGTAGTAGAGATTGTATTTTAAGGTACTGTTATCATGTTCCGAGTCCACGGCCACCGTGCCTATGGCTGGAAAGGCTGCTGAGTAGTGGGCATCTCCATCGGAGTAGTAGCGCAGGTGGGCGTCGGTAAAGGTCGGGCTGGTGATGTCCAGGCGAACCTCTCCCTTCCAGTCCCTGCAAGCAGAAACGCAGGTGAGCCTAAAAAAATCATGATGATCTGAAAAGGGATGACATTTCAGTAAAAGTTTCATACAGAAATCCTTGATATTTGCCGTCTTCTTTATATGCTGCACTGACGTCACGGTGAGCAAGTGTTCCTTTAGCCTTAGAGACCAACGTGCCACCTTCAATCTGGTGCGTTCCCACAACTGCAGGGGAGAGATTTTTCATGCGATTAGTAACTGCAGGACACAGACATTTTCATCCTGACGGCCAGGAGAAATCCATCTTAACTTAAAGGACGTACTTAGATATTTGAAACATCCAGCCCACATTTAAAAACTAAATAAATAGGAGATACTATCGGTCCTAAAATCATGACAGAAAAGTCTGTTTTCTTGGAACCCATTCCTCTGAAATGTCAGTAGGTTTTCTACAGGATGTTACATGTGGGTATATAAGTATCACTTCTTTTAAACATTGCTGTAGAGAGGAATTGTGCCTCTAGTCATATAACTAAGTCCACAATTATTGGTCCACAGCTCTCATTGAAAACATGTAACATATAGAATTCTTACACAGGAGAAGTCAGGACATTTCCTTACCATTAAGGTTATATTCCAGGAACTGTATGGTTGAGCTGCATGTGGAATCCAGGAATGTTTCAACATGATCTTCTTTGTTTTTCAAACCAGCACTCCAAGTAGTATTGTACAGGGGAGAGGTCACCCCGAAACGTGCAGTCAGTGCTCCAAAGGAGGGGATGTAGATTCCAGCAGGTACAGAGAACTTCATGGAAGGAATCTTAATAGTCTGATCGGGCAGGGTGATGTTTGGCAACCTGAAGTCTGCAATCTTGCCAGCCACCTCGTTTAGATCCAAAACAGCAGCGCCAATGGAAATACTTTCTGGATAGGTGAGCTGGGGTATAGTTAATTCAGATTCAGGCACAGTTATCTCAAAAAATGGGATGGAAGAGTCTTCTGGTGGAGAATACTTTGTTAACACATCAGCTTCAGGGAATTTCACTGTGGGCAGTGCTGGTACTTTGAGGGCAAATGGTGAGGTGCTTAGCTTCTTGTAGATTTGTATTTCACTGAAGTCCAGTAGGTAGGACGGAACCTGTAGATCTGTGAACGGGACTTGGAATGCAGGGGTGACAAAAACGGAGTTCAGATTATTTCCTTTCAGTCCAGGAATAACAAATTTATCGGCCAGTTCTTGCACGGGGATGGAGAAGACATAGCCCCTGGGGTTTTTGGTGTACGCAAGGGCTGCTGAAGCACGAAGAGACTGTTTCTGGTCAGTGCTGGTGGTGATATCCAGCTTCAGAAGTTCCCATAAGGTCTTGGCATACACCGGTAGGGCAATATTGTTGAGGAACCGTAGGTGCCCTTCTAAGGAACCTGCAATGTCAAGGCGTGCCTCTTTTTGGTCATTGGAAAGCTGAACATCATTCTGGAGAGACCCAGAGAGGACCTTGATCTCACTTCTCCAGCTCACCTTCTGGCTCTCAGTGTTAACGTTTAGGGCCATTTCCTGGCCAAGGTAATCAAGATCAAGTAAGTAGTTGGGCTGACTTGCACTGACCTGAACAAGGGCTGACATTTTCCACGGGGAGAGTTCCAGCGTGGCTTTGCCTGCATGCTCTCCGGATGTTGAAAAGGGGCCCACCAGCTGTAAGTGGTTTTTGGTATTGTGTTCCCAGATGGCATATACCCGTTGGAGAGTGGCTTCTCCAGCAAAACTTTCTTTTACCTCAAGGTTCCAGATACCATCAACTTTGGAAGCCCCTTGTAGCTTCACTGAAGACCGGGTCCCCTTGGAATTTAAATAGGTGTTGACCTCATTGGCAATCATTCCTGAATATGCCTGTGAAAGGACTGAACCCTGGATATTTCCTCTGTGGGATGACTCCATGGAAAAGTAAGAAGTGAGGGTTTCTAAGCTGAGCTTGTGGTCAATGGTCCCCGAGGCAGTCGAGTATAGCTCAGGGGCATTGATGTCATACTTTAATTGAATGGATGAAGAGACAGTAGGATTTGACCTGGGATTTCCATTAAGTTTTTGCTTTAAATCCATTTTCAAAATTGGGCTTTGGACTTTGGCTCTTGTTGTCATTGAAGCTTCCGCGGCATTCCTGGTTAAGCTAATGGTGCTGTCGTGCTTGCCTTCCACAAATTTGTTACTCAGAGACAAAGTGGTGGCCACCTTCAACCCCCGCCTCCCGGTCAAGCTTGAGGTGCCCTCTAATTTGTACTGCAGTGCATCAATGACGGAAGAAGCTGAAGTAAGCAAATGGGCAACGATATCTGATTGGTTGTAAAGTCCAACATTGGTATTCAGGGTGATGACACTTGATTTAAAGGAAAAATCATAGGTAATATTGCCCATGGCTGGAATGAAAATATTGTTTGGGGCATTTGGTACCTTGATTTCTGGAAGAGAAAACTCAAGGAAATTCCTAGGGACATTAAGGACTGGCATATCTAGGGTTGTTTTTTGTGAGGGCACATAGAAGCCAGAGTCTGGGACAGTGACACTGGGGAGGCTGATCTCTTTTGGGATTACATAGCCGAATGGCAACATCTCTACTGTGAATGGAGATATGTCAGCGTTGACTGCTGGGATAGCATATTCAGGAATCGGAAAGGTCGTGGGTTGCTTGTTCAGAGCTGTTTCAACTTTGTACTTATCAAACCTAATTTTTGCATTATTATAGAATCTGGTGAAGAGATTGAATGCCTTGCCCCTGGCTTCCTCAAAATGCCTGTTGAAGGAATTGATGTTCTTATTGATAAACACATACAACGCATCCAAAGGAATCGGGATGGAATGTTTGTCTTTGTTTTTCTTATACCGAGCATTTACACTTAAGTCAAATGACTGCTGTGTTGTTTTCAAGAATTCTTCCAAACCGGTTTTTTCCCATATGGAGAAATTTTTCACATGGGGAATTGTGAGTCTTGTATAAGGCAGCGTTGTTTCAGGAATTGTTAAAGAATTGTTCAGGAAATCCAGGTTGGCTTCTCCATTTACTCCCACATGCGCCTCAATGCTGTTCTCATTGTTGGCAGCAGAGAAATTTTGATTGTATTTATACTGATTGAACCTGGCACTGGCTTGCCAACTAGCTTGCTGGGTGTTCGGACTCAGAAACAGTGCATAATTATTCAGGAAGCCTATTTTCCCCGTCAATTTTAACGGAAAACTAACTTTCAGGTTTCCTTCATTGTTGGTGGATGCAGTCATCTCCAATGGCTGTGCTGAAAGGAAGAGAGAATTCTTCAAAGTTCCATGCACTCTTCCATGCAAATGAGCATTGTGGTTGCCAGTTACCTCGACCTTCCTCTCTCGAAGCTGGGCTGTGCCTTTAGCAGTGAGAACACTGTGGCCCACGTGTGGGGATTCGACTTGCGACTGAATCTCCAACTGGTAAAGGTCGAGAAAGCTAGACTCATAATCCAAGGTTTGGTTTACTCTCAGGTGTTTGCTATTGATCTTATTAGACCATTCCAGGGACGTGAGGGGCCCTTTCACAGTGAAGTTAATTTGCGATTCATGTGTTCCCTCATCTGAGAATGTGGGGCAGGCCCATTTCCAGGATCCCATCCCAGAAGAAGTCCATTCTATGTGCCCAGCTTCCAACAGGGTCTTGATTTCATTGTGTAGATTGGCCTGACTGGAGAAGTCCAGTTTGGGGATGTTCAGTTTGTGGAAGTACTTTGTGTTGCTGTCCAGGGTAAGCTGATTGTTTATCCTGACGAGGACACCATGACTGAGCTGCAGTGTATTTTTTTCTGTGTGTAAACCTGCCACTATGTCTGATTTGCCCTCAATAGCATTTTCCAAAAACAGCACTTCACTCTTATGCTCTGTTTTCAGGTACGTGCTGGAGAAACTCATGGATTCCTTCAGAATGAGTGGGTTAACCTCAGGGTATGAAAGTTGTGCCTTTGCCTGAAAATCAAACTTGAGCACTTCTAACTTGGAGTCTCCTTTGGCAGTGACGGAAGCCATAATGCCTGCCTCGTTCACTGAGGTCGTCACATTCTGAACGTCAGCGTTTGCATCTAGTGTGAAAAGAGGAGACTGGATTTTCAAAACACTATGGAGCTTGCCAAAAGTCGGCACTGCAATCGTGTGTGGGATGTCAGGAAGCTGGAAGTCTGGTATGTGAAGGTCAGGGACTTGAAAATCTCTGAGGTCTAGATTCGGGATTAAGAATTCTGGAATTGTGATTTCCGGAACGTGGAAGTCTGGCAGCGTGGCTCTAGTAAGCACCGTGTCCAGCCCCTGTAGGTCCCTCAGGTACACTTCCAGAGCTGACCACTGCAGCTCACTGTCCAGCACTTGGTCAATGACCTGGATGATCTTTGCTCTGATTTCTATCAAATCAATGGTGAAGGAAGGAATGTGGAAGGTGTTGAGGACAGTAAATTCGGGTGTGGAAAACCTGAGTGGGACTTGTATATCTCCTAACTTTTTAAAGTTTATCTGAATGGATGGAACCTTCAGATCTGTCAGGGGGACTATGAGGTCTGGAGTCTTAAATGTAGCTTCCTGAAGGGCACGGAGGCTGACTTCAAAGGCAGGCACGGTCCCAAAGGCGGTCTGGATTTCGGGGACAGTGAACCCTTGTTCTACCAAAGCTTTCAGGGTCTCAGCCCAGCCTTGAATAGAATGCTGTTCTGCAAAGTCAGTAAGGTTTTTAGCCGCAAGACTCCACCAGTCAGAAATGTAAGTAACAACTGTGTCATAAACTTGGCCTACTAGCAACAGGTATTGCTGAACTGTCTGTTGAAAGTTCATCTGATCTATTCGGTCTCGGATATCTTGTAGGGTCTCTCGGAATTTAGCTCTCATGTAACTTAAAGATTTTGAATTTAAAGCCTCCTGCAACCGATCAGTGAATAAGGTTATGTTGGTGGCTTTTATATTTTCCAGATGCTCTGAGACCACAGTGCTGATGTCCTCTACAAACAGTTTTAGTGCCTGTGCTTTCTGTGGGAGTTCCAGGGCCTGGATTTCACCATTGATTCTCTGAGTCACCTCACGGATTTTGTTGTTGGTGTTATCTACAAACTGGTGGTAATCAAATGACCTTAATTCCTTTATCAGCACATCAAGGAATCTGTTCACTTCTTCAATGAATTTTTTGAAAGACATCGCTTTAAGCTGTGTGACTGCATCATCAATAAACCCAACCAATTTCTCAAAGTGACCTTTTATCCCAACTTGTTGTAGGACATTGCTCAGCTGCTGAACAGTCTCCTTCACCTTATATTTGTGGGCCAACTGTACTGATTTATCCATGAGCACCTGGATGTGTCGGTCTATTTCATACATCTGAATTAACCTGTGAACCACAGCTCTAAAAGCATTGATTTTCTCAGTTACTTCATAATCTTCAATGAAATTTCTAACATAGTATTTGACATACTTAATCATTTGCTTTACTTTTTGAAATGGAATTGCAGTTTTCAGTAGATTTAAAAACACTCTGACATTGATGGCTTCAACCTGTTGTTTTAATGTTTCTGCAAGGTGCTGGATGTCAATATTCTCAATTTGTGTTTTGAGCTGTTGCAACTTTTCTTGTACCTGGCTTCTGATTTGATACTTAGTATCCATCTTTTGAATCCAAGATGCTGTACTAATTCCAGCTTTGTTAAAATCAATCGTTTCAACAAACAAATACAGATCATGGATTGCTTTTACTAAATTTACACGAATATGATAATGTTCATCAAGAATTTTCAATTTTTCAATGATTTGATCAATAATCTTAGTAATAGCTGTCTTAAAATCAGGCAAATCATAATTATCTTTAATATACTGATCAAATTGTATCACATATGCTTGTAGTTGAGATAGTTTTTCATTAAAATTGATTTTGGCATTGTCCAGTGCAATTTTTAGATCATTTTCTGTAATTCCATAATTTTCCATGAAAGCAGCAAGTTTCTCCTTGGCGCTGGAAACTTGTTCCTCCCAACTGACTCCACTCAGCTGGTCGTTAACTTGCTGTGAGAGTTCGTCCAAGGTTGTTCTGTATTTCATCACGAATTCATCAATATTGACACGTTTCAGTTCTTTCTGAATGGCTTCCAGCGAAGTTACAATGATTACTCGACCCTTCTCATAGTGTTCCGGCAGGAGGTGAAGGAATGGGAGGTTGATGGTGTGAACATCTTGGTTCTTATCATACTTTACAGCGGCAACCATAGTGAATTCCTGGGGCTGGTCCATGGTGTCCCTCATCTCCAGGACATCGATGACGTTGACAGGGTTCCTGAACAAGAATGGCACCGCAATCGGGGCGTCCAGCACGGTGAGGTCGGCCAGGGCTCGTCCGGTAAGCTCCACACCGACTTGGTCCTTGGTGTTGTAAGCATCGAGCTCGTGACTGTATTCGTTTTGGTTGAACTGGGTCCTGAGCCTCCAGGAGCCCGACTGCTCAGCGGGCGTGAGCAGCGCGCTGACTTTGTGATCCAGCGCAGTGCTGACGCTCCTCCCGGACCTGAGACGGTGGCTCGCGGACCCTTTGTAGTCGTGAGAGAACGTCAGGGCCAGGGGCTCCGCTTTCAAGAGGAATTTGCTATAGAGTTGCCCCGTGTGTTCTCCCCAGAGAACCAGCTTCCCGTTGCCGCTGGTGTGTGCATCCACGGTCACGGTGAAAGGGGCCACAGCAGAGTGGAAAACGTTGCTGAAATGCAGTGAGTCCGAATTGTAGTTTGTACTGACGTCAATGGCTGACGCCAGCCCCGCGATGTTTGTGCTGAGCCGGTGGCTGAACTCTGTGTCCTGCACTTTTGCTACGGTGTCTGCTTTGTAGCTCGCTGACAAGTCTGCGTAAGACATGCTGTAGATGTGTTTTATCTCGTGACTCTGGTAGGCTCCTTTTATGTTCCCGCCCACGTTCAGCTTCAGGGGTTCCAGTCGTAGTTTCCCGTGGCTGGTCAGATCTAGCGCATCGAACTTCAGCTCATTGTTCAAGGTCGTTACAAGAGAAAAGGGCTGCAGCTGCAGATTATAAGTCTGCTTATAAAACTTGTCCGAACTATAGATGTTGTCCATCTTCGAAGAGAAGTCCAGCAAGAACCCCGCAATGTTCAAACTGTTTGTGTAGTCAAGTTTCATTTCGGCATAGGCGGCCATCATGTCATTGGAAAGCTTGAGTCCCTCCTGGTTAATTTTGAAGTTGAAAATATTTTTGCTGTCGACACCCAGCATCATGGCCTGATAAACACTGCCCAGCGACACCTCTGTGAGGGTGGCTTTTCCGTCGAGACTGAATTTTGCGTTGTGTTCCCTGAAGCGGCCGTTTGCCGCCACCTTCACGAACGCCCCGGACGGTCCCAGGGCTGCATTCAGCTCATTCTCCAAAATCAGGGGGCTGTACTTCAAGCTGGTCGTCGCACTGGTCGACATTCCGTCTCGGGAAATCCTCAGTGTTGCTTTGTGAGCCCCAGTGTTGCTTTTGTCCGTGCCCAAGACGTCGGCATTTATTTCAAGCCCGTGGGAATTCAGTGACCCAGCAAGCAGGGTGAAGAGCCTCAAGGTCTTGTAGTCAGCCTGGTACTCAGAACGCAGCAAGGCGTGTTGCGGAGAGAAGGTCAGGTCTACTTTGTTAGAGGTGGCAAAGTCCTCATACTGCCCGTTGGTGTCAGATTTCAGGGTCAGCTCGTAGTTCTCATACTTCAGGGAAGCAGTGTTCTTAATCATGCCGTCTTGCAGGTCCGAGGTGGAGATGACGGAGACCGTTCCATCTTCGTAACTTCCTGTTATCTGGTTGGTGCCCTGGAGGTAGGTGGAGTTGAACCTCAGACTGGACTCTACGCTGCGCTGGCCAGTGGCAGGATCCTTTTGATAAGACAGGCCATATACACCTTTAGCGTAGATGGAAGAGACTCGGAACTGCCCATCAACCTTGACTTCCTTGATATACACATGCTCTTTCTTTTTTGAGTCCAAATGTACTGAAGCAGACATCTGCGGTCCCCAGGCACTGGCTGCCTTGAACGTCAGCAGACCTTTGGAGGCTGGGTTGTTGCCAATCTTTTCTACATGACTGAATTTGACATTTGAATCCAGGAATTTGTGGTGTAGAGATCCATCACATGATAACGTGAACGTATTCCTGTGGTCATATGTTGTTTCTCCAGAGCCTAACCAAAAAATTAAATCACATGGGTTAAATTAGGCAATAAATTTCCAGAACCATTTCTATGCTGTAAGACTTTCAGTGGGTCAGTTGTGCCACGGTCTCCTCCGTCTATAACATGAGCATAAAATCTGATAGCAAAAGGCATTCCCACAGGAAGACTCCCCAACCCCTGTAGACCTTGCTGGGCTCCCTTATTAAGTGCTTCCCCTGTACCTTATACTTAGACACAATATGCTATCACAGCACCTCTTCCATTAAATTCTAATTGCCAGTTTGCCTGTCTGTTTTCTCTGTTACTGCCTAGTAGAATACTGGATATATTTAATAAATATTCCTATTGGTTGAATGAATGAATGAATGAATGAATGGGTTTCCGAGTAGCAGGAAAAATATCTGTAAGAAAGCCCAAGTCCTTTTCTCCCTGGAGAAGCCTATCCCATCAGAGCCTGCAATGCCTTAGCCCTGTGCACCCTCTACCCCAGCAGGGCTCACCTTGCACATTGTAGGACAGCAGGTCGACCACAGAGTCAGCCTTTATGCGGTACCGAGCCTGAAGGCTCAAGTGGTCCATGCTGGTGTTGCCGCCGGTGTAGGAGGCGGACCAGTTGTAGAAGTTGCTGTAGACATTTGTGGAAAGGTCTAGGACACCCAAGCGAGGCACCCGCAGTTCGTAAACGGTGGGGATGGTAAAAGTGGGGACCTGGAACTCTTGAGATGGCAGGTGGAAGCCCACAGACTGCAAGTCGATGACTGGGGTCCGAAGAGTCTCCACCATCTTCAGATCTTTGGAGGATTTGCCACCAAAAGGCAAAGGAATCTCAATTTTCAAATTGTTCTTGTTCATGGTGTATCTGACCCGGCCATCACTGAAATGAACAACAAAGACAGTGTCCCTGCGGTCAGGTATCAAGAACTTAAAATTCTCTGCCATCTGACCTGCCGAGTGACGGTGCATACACCCCATTCCCACACCGATTCTCGCTTTTCCCCATGCTGCTCCCTGTGCCCAAATCCCTCTGCTTTTACTTCCACCGATCGCACACTCACATCCACTGGAAACCCTTCTAGGAGCCACTTCCTTATTGGGACCAGCCTTGGTTGTAGTTAGTTGCTCTTGTTCTGACAGTGACGCAGTCCCTGACACCTATCTCAAAGAGCATGTCATAATTCTGCTTATGGAATTACAACTTACTTGCTCCTTTGTCCATGTCTACATGGTATCTTCCTGGGAGGAAGGGTTACGACTCGTCCAGTTTTTTCTTCTCACTCTACCTAGTCTAGTATCTTGCCCATAGGGGATACTTGGTACATATTTGCTAAACTGAATTCAAGCAACATGACATGTGGAAAGAACACAGGTGTGGGATAGAGTGGTAGCTTCCACTCTATGTTACTGAATTCACCTCGCTGAGTCTCAGTGATGTTATCCGTGCAGTGAGGGTAATAGTGCCCTTCCTGACAACCTCATGGAACTAAATAGCAAAGGAGAAAAATAACCAAACCAGTTTGTAGTCTTTTCAATACCATGCACGTATCATGGACTATTATAATAACTTATGAGGATGAAGTACAGTGGCAGAGTTTTAAATTTTGTAAGTAAATCAACTGTTCATTGCACTACTCCAACAGCGACTGGATGGTGTCCATCCAGGATCCTGGCATCCGGAAGAAGGATGCTGGATCAGACCCTAGGTGAGTCTAAGGTCCACAGTCCTATCTCGTCAGCACAGAACAGGGAAGGCTGCTGGTCAGAGGCACTGGTGGTGAAGGAAGAGGTTTCTGAGTCCCCCGAAACTGCCACTTTTCCCTCTTGTCTTCAATGGGTTTGCCCACGTGAGAGCTTTAGCAGACTTCCTTCCATTCACACTTCTGTGTTCTATGAAACTTGGCTGCTCAGCCTCAGACTACGGAAAGGCCCCTGTGACACAGACTACTTGTTTTCTTAACCCTGGAGATCATACAGAGAACAGTCAATCTAAAAAAAAAAAAAAGACACTTGTCTTCTTAGGTCATGCTCTGATTCTGTTTTTATTTTCATGAACTAAAGAAGAGCACTATGCGTGTTTCCGTAAATACAAGAGTGGCCTGTGTAGTTTGGAATCTGACTTCCCTGTAAGGAGGAGGCTTTATTGCTACAGTGAAATATCCTCTCAGGAAGCTCCCTTCATTCAGCGCTCAGTGGCCCCGCGGAGCTCCACAGCACGCTTGCAGTCAAGAGTTCCACTAGATACTCTCGGATTCTTTACAGCCAAACAGTTATGAGTGTATTCTGATCCTGAGCAAAGGAGGAATTCACTCACAATGGAGGAGAATGGAATGGCTTTCCAGTTTCAGTTGTAGTAAATAAAACGTTTTAGGGTGAAAGTACGAGAACACGCGATTATTTCTTAGGTGCTTCCTGAATCGGCTGGCATTGACATTCTGACCTCATGCTGAATAATGCAAAAATGCCACCGTGTGTATATGCCACAGCTGTTAATATCCTTAAAATGCTTAAATTATTTCCCTTTAAAATGTGAATTGGAGTCTCAGTCGTGCTAAGTAAAATCTTCCTCATATTTTGCATGGTTCAAGAAATTTTTCTGTTTATTTTTATACCTTTTCAAGAAGAGGTTTTCTGGGATGCGGAAGTCTGGCAATCCCATCTTCTGGAGGTTCAAGTCTTTTAGGCCACGAAGGTAAACTTGCAAACTCTGGGCATAAGGAAGAATCGCAGGTGCCTGCTGAAGCCATGCGTTTGTTGTCTACAAAATAATAGAAAGTTTTCAGGGCCATGGGCACAGATTAGGCAATAATCCTTACTTGACAGATCATTCACTAAGCAGGATGATGCACCGAAAGGCAAAAATAAATCACAGAAAATTATGACTTTTTAAAAAAGATTTTATTAATTTATTTTTAGAGAGGGAAGGGAGGGAGAAAGAGAGAGAGAGAGAAACATCCATGTGCAGTTGCTGGGGGTCATGGCCTGCAACCCAGGCATGTACCCTGAATGGGAATCGAACCTGCGACACTTTGGTTCGTTCGCAGCCCATGCTCAATCCACTGAGCTATGCCAGCCAGGAAATTATGACTTTTTAGCTGTCAGTCATTGATTGCTTCCTGTGTTTTATTAAAGGAGCATATCATATAGTCAGACTCCTAGCTAGTGTCCTGAGGCTTCCTTTGATACCGAGTCACAGCCAACTCTTTCACTTAGTTGTATATCCACTTAGCACTTACCGTACCCAGCCTTGTGCAACTGTGTGACCATGCACGGATGTGTCTCTTCTCCCCTGAAATTCCCTGGGGATGGGAAGCATGCCTTACCCATCTTCAGATCCCCTCCTTCACCTAACTCAGGGTTGGGGATGTAATTAGCACTTCCAACCATGCATGTGTTGACCGTGTTGTACTTACAGCTATTAATTTGGAGCCCATGTGCCGGAAAGTCATGTCTGTTTGAGGAACTCTGTGATCCAAGAGACTGTTGGTGTACATATGCAAGCTTTTAGGATAATCAGAGAGATCCATGGGGAAAGTGGAAGCCGCTTTCTTGGTATCCATGTTGGTGCCCGTGTTCCATTCAAATTCAATCTTGTCTTCATCTGAAAACATACATGTGAAATAGTTGTCAGTGGTACCAGGTCAGCCCTAACCAATGGCTCGCAACACTGCACTTGAGTACGGAGCGCTTTGGGAAGCGCTCCCCTGGGGAAGAGGCACGCACCATAGCGCCAGGCCAGCTTCTGGGAAATCGCGGAGCCATAAGCTGTAGCCGATGAGTCCACTTGGAGGAGCAGTCTTGTGGGAGACCAGTGGGCGAGGGCTTCACTTCTGGCTTCTGCTTGCAGACGGGGTATGGAAATGACACCTTTGATTTTGCCTTCTTCCTTCTTGTCACAGCTATTGGAAAGAAAATCAGTTGACATCAATGACTTTGTCCCTCCCAAAGAGGTATGCAGGGTTCAATAGAAGATCGACTTGTGGTGATGAAAATGAAATACACGGATGGCTCAGAGAAAATGACCAGAGATGACACTCACTGACTTCTACAGTCAACACAAACTTAGGACTTTCTGGGGAGGTAGGGGAGAGAGAGGTTTTCAAAAACTGTCTGAAGGCTGCACTACCATTTACTGGCTCTATTACCTCGTCCAAATTATTTAGTCCCTCTGAGGTATGGTCTCCTTATCAATCAAAGAGGGAAACTCATACGTACCTTGAAGTTTATTATGAGGACTGAGATAATTACTTTAAAGCACCCAGCACAGGGCCTGATGAATAGTAAGTGCCCAGTGCCTGGTAGAAAGATCTAACTGCACATGTGCAGAGGGTCAGAATGCTGAGGACTCTCTCTGCCCCTTGGGCCGTAGACCAGGAATGCCCCAGGCTGGTGAGCTGCAAAGATAGGAAAGAGCCAGGAGGACCAGCAGCTCAGGTGAGGTCACCCTGAGCCTTCTGTACCTTATCTGGCCAGTGAGGGCGATCTCCGTGATTTTCTTGTTCTGAATGTCCAGGGTGAGTTTGTAAGATGTTTCTTCCTCAGCAGATTCATCACTAACTCTGAGGACTGTCCCAAGGTCAACGTCCAAATCTGGAATTTGCATTTCACTGGTCAAAGTCATAGTCTGCCGGTTATATCTGAACATCATGGAGGCCTCGGTCTGCTTTACACCTGAAAGAATGTACAAGGTGATCAAAACATGTATCCAGAAGCTCTGTTTAGGATGGAGAGGGAAGGAAAGGCAGAGGAACGCCCCACCTACTCCATGGCCTTAAATGAGGACCCTGCAGGATTTTACCCTCGTATTTTAACTCAGTGATGCTCATGTATTTATTTGCTCAATCTGCAAATATTTATTGATTGCCTATCATGTGCTAGGCACTGTGCTCTGCATTGGGGAGCTCCTGCCCTCACAGAGCTTACATCCTAGTGGGGAGAACAGACAATAAACAAGTAAATTATTTATATCACCTGGTAAGTGATATTATCTAGAAATGACAACTGGATAAGACAATATTAAGTTTGAGAGGGGTAAAAAAGGTGCTATTTCATGTGTGGTGGTCAGAGAAGCTCTCCGTGGTAAGGGGATATCTGGGCAGGGACTCGAATGAGGAGAGGGGCTGAGCCCAGCTGCATGCTGGGGGGAGGACGGTCCAGGCAGAGGGAACCGGAAACACCAAGGGCCTGCTGTGGGAAACACTCGGCGCGTTCTGGGGACAGTAGGGCTCAAGGTCCTTCTGCGTCAGGCAGATGTGACATCTCTATTGACTCTCCTCTGATGACACCCTTCCTAGGTTTTTGCCCCTCCCCTACACCCTGCCTCATCCTTCCCAAACTCCTTCCTTTTTTTTTGTTTCTCTAATTCTTTTCTTTATTTTAATCATTCTTCAAGTACAGTTTTCCACCTTTTCCCCCCATCCCAGCCCACCTCCCTCCCAGCCTTCTGCACCTCCCTCCTGTTTCCAGCCCTCTGCCCTTGATTTTGTCCCTGTGTCCTTTATACTTGTTCCTGCAAATCCTTCACCTCTCTCCCCTGAAATTTCCTCCCCTTTCCCCTCTGGCCACTGTCAGCCTGTCCTCTATTTCAGTGTCTTAGGTGATATTTTGCTTGTTTGTTTGTTTTGTTGTTTAGGTTCCTGTCAAAGGTGAGATCCTATGGTATTTGTCTTTCACTACCTGGCTTATTGCACTTAGCACAATGCTTTCCAGTTCTATCCATGCTGTCACAGAGGACAGGAGCTCCTTCTTTCTTTCGGCTGCGTAGTATTCCATTGTGTGAATATACCACAGTTTTTGATCCATTCATTTACTGATGGGCACCTAGGCTGTTTCCAGCACTTGGCTATTGTAAATTATGCTGCCAAACTCCTTTCTTTCTGGCAAGGACCACGTGTTTCCTCCAATCCACAGGCTTACCTACTTTATGTCTTCTGTCACATTGTCGTATGACATATTTTTTCAGCATGCACCCTGTGGATGTCTCCTATGGATTTGTTTTCCTAGTTTAATTTGGAAACACACTATTCCTACCCAAGAAATCTTTCCAAGTGAACATCTAAGTTTGTCCTATCCCCTAAGACCCACTCCTCCAGCGGCCTTTTCCATTGCAGTGAGTGGCATCTCCATTTTTCGGTTGCACAGGCTGAAAAACGCAGTCACCCTGATTCCCTTTTTCCTTACAGTCAACGCCCACTCCATCAGCACACCTTGTCAGCCTAACCTTCACACTGCGGCCAGAATCCAACCATTTCGCAGCTCTCCTTGGCCACCACTGTAATCCCAAGGCCCCCGCCTTTGGCTTGGATTAATGCCATAGCCTACATACTAATCTCTCTGTCTTTGTCTTCAAGTCTTTCCTCAGAATAAACATACATCAAATCATGAAAGCTCTCCAGTGGCTTTTTATTGCATGCAGTAAAAGCCAACGTCCTTACAAAACCCACGAGACTATCTTTCCTCCACGTCGCCCTATCTTTCTGACCCCGCCTCCTCCCTGCTCTGTTTCTGCCACACTGGCTTCCCTCCTCCTCCTCCTCACACATCGCAGCTGTACACCTGCCTCAGGGCCTTTGCACCTGCTGGCTCCTCAGCCTGCAAAGCTCTTTTCATATGGCTTATCCCGTTACCTCCTTCAAGTCCCTCTCGCATGCTCCCTTTGGCAGGGAGACTTGACTTCCCCTTCTCCTGCCTCCTCCCTCCACTCCTGCCATTCTCTGCACTCCTCTACATCCTCTTTCTTTCCCCGGCAGTGCTCTGATGTCCTAAATATTTACTTGTTTGGTTGTTTACTGCAAGCTCCATGAGGGCAGAGACTATCTTCACTGTTTACTGTGCTAGCCTCCGCTCTTAGAATAGGCCTGACACTAATCAGGCACTCCATACCTATTTGTCATACGCATTGCCTTAAAGATGTTCTCCTCATGGGCTCTGGACCTGCAGCGGAGGGTAGGGATGGAAGAGCCCTTTTCCGGATACCTACCTTCTGCCTGGATTACGAACTTCAGCAAGTCCACCCGGGCTTTGCCCTCTCCCTGGAGATTGTAGATTGCGCTGGCAGAGTACTGCTCTACCTCTCCTGTGGGCCTCAGTTCCAGGTCATACCTAGAGAGGCTACAATGCACATGGTGAGTGATGTTAGAGTTTTCCATGGTGAGGATGCCCACAAAGTAACTCAGCCCCAATAGCCACAAAACCATGGTCCTCATTCTAAGATGGACTCTTCTCCTTAACTGATGAGCTTTACCCTCCCTTTCAAGTCCCTCCAAGAGCCCAAGGCCAGGGCAGATCCTGGTACTCCCAGCATTCCTGGACAAGTAGAGCAGAAGTTGCTGGTTGTGTGAGCAAGGCTGAGAACAAGCGGTGAAAGTGGGGGATGGGGAGTGGAAGACATGTTGCTTTTAAGCATGGCAAGGGCTTGGAACACCTGTGGGCTCTAGAGGAGGCCTCCCCAGTGAGCCTGGAGGCTCAGAAACACAGACACTGAGTTAGAAGCAAACCGGAATATGTTCTGTGATCCCCTTATCAAATGCACGTGGGAGAAAGGGGGGGCACCAGCTATAAAGAGATGCTTTTACAGGAGTGGTTCTCCAGGGCAGTGGCTGCAGGTCCTTTGAGGAGCACAAGAGAATTACTTTGGCTATTTATTTTTGGAGCTAAGACCTCCCTCAGTGATCGGGACTCCTCGCTTTTCACCACCACCGCTCCCCTCCCACCTGTGGGGGAGCCCAGTCCTAGACTCAAAGTTTAGGCAGGAATCTGTGTACCCTTCAGGTGTGTTGGGTAGAGGACCACTGTTTTAAATAATTAAAAGAGGGTACAAACTACTGAGGCTGGTGACCCAGGCCCACAACACAGCATTTTTTCCCTTGCCCTGTTAGGTAGAAGGTAATCAGACGCTGGGCGGGACTTGGAGCGTGTCTGACCTGGTGTGTCCGATCAGAGGATAGTAGGAACCGCTGTTGGAGTAAGCGCTTGTGGTGCAGTAGTTCAGGCCGGTAATGAAAGGCTTGCAGATTGACTGGGACTCCCTGTTCTCCATTAGAGATGGAATCACTTGCGTTTTGGTGGTAGAGACCAAGTGCAATGTGTTGCTAGTGAAGAAAGAAATACCCTGAGTTATTCAGAAGTCATGAATCAAAATGAACATCACTGATTCTCAGCACAAATGTCCTCTTATCCTGCCCTCTATCCCCCCTCTGTCCACACCCATCTCAGCTTCTTTGATTTACGCAGACACAAGTCACACTAAAACACTGACAAGGCTAACCAGTGACTCCGTGTTTCAGACACTGCACTGAGTTCTTTACATTTGTTATCTGTAATCCCCACAACAGCAGGCATTAGGGGCCTCCTTTTACACAGGAAACAGGCTCAGCAGTGTAAAGCAACTGTCTCTGGGACCTGACCTCAGGTGTGTTCCTTCCTTCCGATGATGCAGGGTAACAGGTGCCCTGTCTCCTTTCATCTGAAGTCTCTTAGTCCCTATTGGCTTCTTTCCATCAGCATTAAACACACTAAGAGTCTTCTCCCCTTCTACACGTGTGCGTGCTCTCTCTTTCTCTCTTCTCGCTCTCTTTCCCTTCCACCCCCTCTTTTCCCTCACCATCAAGAAATTTGTCTTTGCCATCTCCATTTTCTTTCAACACCCTTCTCCTGAACTCCTATCTGACTGCCACCTGCCCTGGGTTTCTGGAACTGCTTTCATCAGCATCTCCAATCACCTTCTTGCTCCCAACTCCAATGGACATTTTTAGGTTTCATCTTCCTTGATCTCTTAGAGACATTCAGTAGAGTTGCTCACTTAGGGCCAGATTAAGACTTTAGAATCCATAACCTACGAAACAATTATGGTCTCCTTCTCCCAAGTGTGTACTTAAAAGAGTAGTCAGTGCAAGAAAGTTCAACCATGTCTTGGTTTCGCCCAAGTATGCTTTTCTTTGATTGATCATACTCTTTCCTCAGCATTGTTTCTTCATTTTAGAGGTAGTACCCTAAGATGCAGCTATCCTTGTGGGCTAGAGCCCTAAGTGTCAGATCCACCTCTGGGGTCACTCCTGGGCTTTGGTGACCCTTCACAGATCTTGGCTCTCCTTCTGCATCTCTGGTCACTCCCTGTCACTCTTTGCTGCTTGTCCTCTCCCCCTTCACGTGTTTATGGTCTCCACATTTCTGCTCTAGTCCCTCATGGTTTACTCTGTACCAATTGCTGTCTGACTTCAATGACCTCTCTATGCCAACTCCCAAATCTGCATTTGTACCTCAAACCTTTTTACTGAGCTCAGACCCATTGGCCCAGTTGCCACCTGGATATGCTAATTGGTTCCAATGCAATATATCCAAACCTGAATTTGTCATCTTCCTCCACACCAGCCTCTCGCCCTCATTAGTCCATTTTTCAATGAATGGTACCCCCTCACTCCCCTTTCCTCCTTCCTTGGCGTAACCCCCCATATCCAGTCAATCACTAAGTACTCATGTTTCTAAGAATTTCTAGAGTTGGCTCACTCCTTTCTACACCTAGCAGGCCACTGGCACCTCTCACCCACATATGATTTTGACAGACTTCTAACTGGTCTCCCTGTCTCTGGTCATGCCTCCTGCCCACCCACAGACCACTCTGGAGTCAGAATACATCTTCTAAAACACATCTTCTAAAATTATTTATGTTCCCATTTTAAACTCCTTTGCCTTCAGAAGAGGCCAAACTCCTCAGGGTGGTTCAAAAGACTGACCCTTGCCCGCCTCTCCTGTCGTCTCTCATTCTGTTCCCTGGGCACGTGATTACACTGAATGTGCTGTAGCTCTCGAACCATATCCTTTTCTCCTGCAGGCAACCACACATGCTTTTCTGTTGGCTTGGGGACAGTCATTCCTTCCTCTTTTGTCTGAATAGTTCTGACAGAACTTCAGATATCAGCTCAAGCATGACTTTCTTCGGGAAGCTTTCCTGAACTACCACAGGCTCCATGTTGTAGAATTTCAAGGTCTCCTAATATGTCCCCTAACTTAGCCTGTACTTTATAATTACTGTTCACTTCCTCGTATGCCCTTCCCATATACTGTAAGCTCTCTCATTCAATGCGCTTGGTCTATGGTAGGCAATTCAACACCATTTTAACTATTTTTGAATCAACAAATTAATGTGCCCCAAATACAGAATCTATGGTAAATCATTATTTGAGGAGATCACTGAAAATAAAGCTCTTAATCTGAGGCTCTCTCTCCCATAGTCATGAGGTAAGGACTTCCACACTGTATCTTCTGAGCTAGCTACCACCAGTCAGTATGTCCTTTGGTATTTTTTCCTGGGAAAAATGTCCATTTCCCAAACATCGTTTCTCTAGAGCTAATGCTTTTTTCATTCTCAAAACAATGAACAAATAAAAAAACCCCCATAACCTAATAACAACTAGGTAATCTAGATCTTAAGTCTCCATTTAGTAAAGTGTAGGAAGTTGGGAAAATTATAATAATTATTTAGTGAGTGTAGGCTAGGTTAAAAGTAGGTAATCCAGTACTTTCCCTCTGTCACACCAGACCCACTAAGGTCAGAATTATCTCAATTAGCTGTCTCTCTGGGTCAAGTCCTGCAGGTACAGTCTCAATTCTCCTGAAAACTGGCCAGTCAGACCCAGCTGAAAGAATCACCTGATGCTGAAGAGCTTAACTGGCCTCTTCGGAGCTTCAATGATGAGCTTCAGACGCCCAGCACCTGGGACAGCTCGTGCCGTCAGGCCTGTCTCGTGGAAGAAGTTGACGTTCATTTGGACACCACTTCTAGCGAAGTGTGGGATGATGATGCCCATATTTGTCACGAACTCCACAGACACAGAGGGCTTTGCCACCAGTTCTGCCTGCATTCTCTGTGAGTCAGAAAATGACCTAGTCAGCTTTGTTAAATAACTTCGTCCTCTGTGGTCAAATCAACCACCTTTCCCATCCCTGGGCAAACATGTCTGGATGGCTCACACCTCAGGAAACATTACTGTGATTTGTCTGAAGGGAGAAAAGCCAAGTTCTCAGTTTTCCAGGGCCAAACAACACTGATATCCAGGACTAGGAAGTGCCCAAGTTAACTTTAAGCATAAGATAAAAAAACCCAACAGGAATCCCCATGTATTGAGAGAATAGCTGGGTTTTCATGTGACTGCCACGCTCCCCTGGGAGCTAGCAAGGCAGAGCATCCTAATGGATCCCTAGAGTTTTCCATGAAAATGAGTGAGGTGATTGCGTTGACGAGGCACTTCACCTTGGGCTGGACACACACGTGAAAATGGCATAAGATACCCGCCCTGGAAGAAGAGAACAACCAGAGGAATCAGAAGGGAAATGGAGTCTTACGTTGCCTGCTTCCAGTTTCACCCCGGCCTTCATTCCGGGAGTGAGGACTCCGGAGGAGGACACTTGCAGTGGAAGGCCGAGGCTGGTGGGGAGCTCAAAGGCATTGTCCATGAAGATGTAGTGAAGGAACAAGTCACTCGATGAACCTCTCTTGACGGCCTCTGCAATCTGCGCATCCAACGGGGGAGAGTAAGCGAACCTGAGCCCCCGCGGCGTGGGCTTGCTGGCATGCCCCTCCCACACATCAGGCAATAATTCTTCTCCTTCACCCAGAAAAAAAGTCTAGCATATTTTGATTAGCTGAATGGTTTAATAAGTAAAGATAAATTATTATTAAAGATTTTATTTATTTATTTTTAGAGAGAGGGGATAGGAGAGAGAAAGGAAGGGAGAGAAATATTGATGTGTGAGAGAAACGTTGATCTATTGCCTCTAGCTCACCCCCAGCTGGGGACCCGGCCCTAACCCAGGCACATGCCCTGACCAGGGATCAAACCGGTGACCTTTTTGATTTGTAGGCTGATGCTCAACCCCCTGGGCCACACCAGGCAGGGAAAGATGGATGGTTATTGATTTCAAAAAATTGGGATATAAACTATTGCCCTGGATAGTTATCCTATCATTTTCAACTGGTGATTCAGAAGGCTTTCAAGACTATTGCTGGGTCTCAGAGCTTTATGAAGTCTCATCGCTCAGCATGGCTTAATTCTGGAGTTTTGGAGTCTAAATGTAAATGAAGGATTATTTGAAATACAATATATTATGGTAAAACCATTTTTTTTTGCAACCAACAACCTGTTGAGATGACATACATATTAAGTATGCATTGCTTTCGTTTTTTAAGACATGCTTAGAAAATACTTGAGATCAGTTCTCTTAAAACAAATATTTTTTATTTATTAAATGCAGGAGAGTAAATTCCCATATTTTCTCTCTTCTCAGTAAATTAATAATAACAAACACTATAGCTCATAATTAGATAACAGATTACGGTTAGCCGAATACATTATTTCCTAATCATTGCATCATTTCAATATTAAAAGAAACCTGTAGCACAGGTAGAGACAGATATACTCAGCATCGTCTTCCAGATGAACAAATGAATACTCTTCAAAGATACACTTAAGAGTATGAATAGCTTAATTTCTAAATGTTACCGATTTCTTGTTATCCAAGAATCTTCTTCACTAAAATTCAAGGCAAACCTGTCTCTCTTTTTTAAATCCTCACCTGAGGCCATATTTTACTGATTTTTGGTGGGCGGAAGAGGGAGAGAGATACAAATGAGAGAGAAACATCCATCAGTTGCTTCCTGCATGTACCCCGATCAGGCATCAAACCCACAGCCTGGGTATGTGCCCTGACCGGGGCTTGAACCTGCAACTTTTGGGATGATGCTCTAACCAACTGAGCCTCCCAGCCAGGGCCAAACCTGTCTCTTTGAAGGAAGTATGAGCACTTTTGCTGGTGTGTGTGGCCAGAATCTTAAGGGAGTCTGAGAGATCTCAAAGGAGCACAGGCTAAACGCACCACCTATGCTGGGGCCCGGCCCACTCACCATCTGGGGGATCCCCGTCAGAGTACGGGCGCCGCTCAAGAACAGCCTTCCCAGGAGCTGGAGGTCGTGGAGTCTGACAAAGCCGAGCTCCTCTCCTAAGATGCGGAGGTAGGCTCTGGCTTCTGGGAATTCTTCGGATTTCAGATCTTTGAACAGCTTCTCAAGGTTGAGCATGATTCCTTTGACCATGTCCTGGGAATTAACCGACAAGAGACCTGGTGAGATGTCAGCATGGCCAAACGCCTTCAGATTTCTGATTGGGGCCTGTCTGCTGCAGCCGCAAGGCACCCAAACAGAAACACTCAGAGTTGGGGAGTCTGGGCAGGCACTGAAGTCAGGCTCTCACCTCTTATTTGAAAGATAAATAGCTTCTCCAAACTGAGACGAAATAACTGAGGTCTTGTCAGGGACAGTGGTGCTTCCACACTGTTTGTAACTTAAGTCATGTATGCATAGAATGGGGGATCTCTACTCCCCAGGATGACAGGGTCCCTAGGCCCCCCCAGATGAGAAGACCCTCTATATTCCACCCCCTCCCCTGCTTACACCCTCTCCTTTGTGTAGGGAAGAATCGTAGGGGTTTCTTGGGAAAATTAGCTGTCAAATAAATTGGCCAAAACCTTGAAAACACCTGATACTAGACAAGTTTGTCTTAGCAATAAGAAAAATTCCATTGACTGATGCTTAGCTATTGAGAGAGAAAAGAGAGTGACTGGCAGGCCCAAAGTAGATCCATTTCCCTCAGGCTCAAGTAAAGGTAAGCAAATTAGAACAAAAAGGTAGGGCCATCTGTGAGCATCTAGAGGCAAATTACTGCCCTGCTTCTCAAACTGAAATGTGCACGCAAGTCACCTGGGGGTCTTGCTAAAGTGTAGGTTTGGATTCAGTAGGTCCCATTAGGCTTGAGAACCTGCATTTCTTTAATGCTCCGCTTTGACGCCAATGTCTAGACCACACTCTGGGTAGCAAAAAGTTAAGGACTAAGAAGCTCCAGATTAAACTACCTACTTTCTACTCCTTCAGCGGGGGCTCACGCTAGCTTCCGAGTGAATTTTGCTTTCATTAGCTAATGCACAGAGGTGGGTGACAGGCACAAAAGGAGTTAAACATAATTAAAATGTGAATTTAAAAATTATAATAGTTAGTATCTGCTTGTTGAACAATCAGCACCAGAGTCAGGCACTCTGCTTAAAGGTTTACATACTTTATTTCATTCAGTCTTTAAATAACCTTGTGAGGTATGGGTTACTCTTATCACTCTGGGGATGCGTAAACAGATAGACATAGTATCGGGCAACACGTCCAGGGTTGCACAGCTTGAAGACAGTGAGGGTAGAGTCCAAACCTGTGCCCTAGACACTCTTAGCCATTACGCTAGAGTGCCTCCAAAGAGACTGGTTCCTGCACACACTGTGTCTCCAGGAGCCTCATAACTGCAGAGGAAACTGGCTGTTACTTTCAAAGGACCAATGAAAAAAGCCAGAGTTGTCACTTAAGTGAAATAGTTTCTTGATTACTTCCAGGCTTAGATGAGAATATTTTTGTACCGAGACCCAAAGCTTTCCTTGACATGACACTTAACAAAAACATACCTGCTCATGTTTATCATCTTTGTTGTAGCCAAAGTGGTCCACCAAGACCTTGGAGACATGATCGGGAACTTGACCGTCAACCCAGTACAAAGCCTTGTTGACGCTGTCTGGGAAAAATCCGTTCTTCCCAAAGAAAGCTTCCAGTGTTGGCTCAAACCCTTTTCCTTCCAAACCAAGCTGAGAAAGAAAATCAGGCAATAAATGCTATCAGGTTTCTTTGTTGGATGTCAACCTCCTATTCCCCTCTATATATCCATTTAATTGAACAAGTATTTGATAAATACTATAAGTCAGGAACTGAGCTTAGCCTTCCACAGGAGTTGCATTATTTAAATTTTAGTAGAATCTTAAAGGCAGAACTGCCTAAAGAACATCTGCCTCCCCCTCACCCCCTTCCAGAAAGACAGCTAAGGTTTAGGGAGGACAATTAATTAAACCAAAGATTCAGAGCTGGGAGTGGATTTGGGGTTTGAACCAGTTCTGTCTGAGTGCCTACACCATGCACTTGCTTGTATTTTGGGTCTAAGGGCTTTTACAAAGCATCTACCTTTCCATGCATGATAAGAAGTCATGCTTCAGGTGACCCCTAGCAGGGAGGAAGGGAGGTGGGAAGAAAAAGACCTTGAAGGGATGGTATGGAACTACAGCCTGATGATTCTTGTTCCTCCTCGCCCTGGCTCACGAGTCACTTGGCCTTTTATTTATGGTGTAGAACAGAAGGGACTAGAAAACACAGGACTCTTCTTCAGTCTCACACTTACCTCAAAGAGGTCAACTGAAGCAAGTCCAAAGACAGTGAGAGTAGTTTTCAGCATGCTTTCTCTAGGCAGGTAATTATTTGGATCAAATATAAGATTGCCTTCAATTTTGGCTGAGACTGGGTCAAGTGATGGGAGAGAAACAGATTTGGAAAAGTGGTAGTTCCGGGAAAATGCTCTGAAGTCCATGAGAGTTGGGAGCTGAGAGTTTTCCAGAGCGCCTTTCACTAGCTCTTTCAAACTAGAAGAAAAGAAGGATGATATTTTGAGCCGGCACATCATATAACTTATGCTTTGCTCCTCTTTCCCCAAGTAAACATGGATTTCCAGGTGCTACCAAACTCATGAATCTGCCCCAAGAGTTGGGCTCAGGTTTGCTGTCCTTTTGTACCACTGTTTGTTCCAGAAGAAAGAGTGCTCTCTCAAGGGCAGGCAGGGGCTGAATCCAAACTGAGGTTTGGAATTCCAGCCCTTTGTAACAAACAGGCGGGGGGAAATTATTCTTACTTACTCCTGGACATACAATTCTTCTGAGTTTAGGATGTTGGCAATGTGGGAAGCCACGAAGTTCTTCACTTGCTGATTCTGTTCCCCTGGGAGAAGCTGGGTGATGTTGCTAATATCCGACTGAGAAGGGTCCCTCATCAGCATGAGATAGGCAGCCAGTCGCTTATCCCCTGGGGCCGCAGCATCCAGGAAAGTCTGCAGAAGGACCTCCCGGACCTGTAGCCGAAAAAGAGGAGACTGTTATCAGTGTCCTTGGGTCAGAGAACAAGTCTTGCAAACAACTGGCATGGTTGCAAGCAAGTTATTATGTGTCAGCTGAATTTCTCTCTAATAACTCTTCAAATGATGGTATGGCATCTTCTTGCTAGTGTTCCCCAAAACAATGAGCCTGAGGAAGGTTTCTCAGAAGACTCTTATCAAATGCATGTCAAGTTCAATTTCAGTAAAATATGCAAGCTACAGCCAAGTTATGACTTGTTGGAGGCCTGCCACTAACTGAAAATGAAGTTGTTTTCCCATAAATTAGTTCAATATGAGGTTAAAGGTTGAAAGGGAAAGCAAGAGTCGGGGCTCATAAATAAAGTAGTGTCCAAAGATATGGAGCCATTGCCACCTATGGTGGGGGCAGGCTGACCATTGGAGATTGGGGAGATTGGGGGAAATCGGGCCTGTTTTCCTAAGATAAGAGTGGGAGCGGTGGTAGATCTGGTAGGAGGATAGCATGTCATAAAAATCTCAAATTCTGCATTCTGGAGCAGCAGCAGCGAGGTCAAATATTTCTCTCATGTTCACGTACTGCTGGGCAGTCAAGTCCATAGGCTTGCTGAAAATTTGCAGTTAGCAAGCAGTAGCATATAGGCCACAGAATGACAAGATTAAGAATCTCATTCCAAATCCTTGTCAATCGGAATAATTTTCCTTTGCAGCCCCCCTCTGCGGACTTCACCTCATCTTTATTTTTCATTTTCCGCAGGGCCTGGATGGCGGCCTTCTGAATCAGCAGCGACGGCTCTGCGCTTCGGACACAGTTCAAGAGGGCGGATGTGAGTCTTGGGGTGAGCTGCTCCATGGCTCCGCCGATATTGCCAATGACCTGCATTGCCAAGCACCGAGAGGGGATCAGGATGCAGAAAGGGAAGGGAGGGGTGTCCAGGAAAAGTGTGCCCCCTTCTGCAATGGTGCAGATTACACGAAAGACAGAAGTACCCTCAGAATCAGGTAGGTGTGCTCTTCGTTGCCGGTGCAGTCATCTCGGATCTGCTCCAACAGGTAATCCGCGATGTCCAGCAGGTCTTGAGTCGCTGTAGGGTGTGTCTCGTGATACCTGCAGAATAAGAGTTAGGATTCGGTAAGTATGGCTAGCGTTATCTGAAAATCTGAACTTGTGTTGGCTGATTTCATATTTCAGATCGTAACTCTTAAAAAGATCAGGAGAGAAACAGAAGAGTAAGCATCAGGGCCTGAAAGTGGAGGAAGGGGCACAATCTTGATACAGAGATGCGAGGTCTTCCTCAGCTCCTGCAGGGAGAACCAGGGTAAAGCGCACCTGTTGATCACGTGACTCAGAGCATAGAAAGTAGCCCGGCTCTGCTGCTCCTTGGCTGTGTTGAAGATCTCCTGCAGCCGCTCGGCCGAGGGCTCCGGGGTCAGGGCCACCAGGTAGGTCACGATATCTATCAGCAGTGGGTTGGCTTTCTCGCTCTTCAGCCACTGGAGGATGTAGGTGTAACACTGGGGCTGTCCACACTGGATCAAGGCCTGTAGAGTGACGGGGCTGGGAGGGGAAGGACGGAGAGGGAGTCACACAGATCGTCTTCTAGGTATCTTCAATCACCTTAACCCACAGCGTTCCTTCTGCCCTTATTCCCTTACTCACTGTCCAAATCCAATCATATTTCAAAACCCAACTCAGATCCCCAGAACCCTTTGCCCGAGAACCAGGAAATCTTCCTTGTGAGCATTCTCTACAGAGAAGGCATCACGGAGACAAGTCTGAAGGAGAACCCCGGTCTGATCACCAAAAGAGCACAGTTATCCCTGTCCCTCGGACAGAACACAGAACGTGCTGGGCGAACGTCGGCATGGTCTCGTTTTCACCCTCACTTTCCTCTCTACTCTCCACAGCTCCGAGAGCCATGGCCTTGAAGTACACAGAAATCCCAGTGTTCTTTCGTTTGCCTGAGTTCCCTCTCTGCCAGCCTAGAGGCTTCCGAAAGGCCCGGACTGGTCTCTCCGACCTTCCAGGGTGCCCGAACGAGGAATGGGAAGATACCCATCCGGATGTGGCAGACGGCTCTGTCTTGCCTTACCACACCAATCCACATCTGCCTTGGATGCCACGTGTGTTCCTGTGTGGTTGCCATGGAACTCCAGGCCCCTTAGCTGATACTTCTCCATCCAGCAAACAAGAGCCGATTGGCTAATTGACTATCTGGGTTGATATTTCAATGGTCCCGCAGGTTCCCTGTTTGGCCAAGGTTCAGCAGGGACCACAGGTTTGTAACCTCTGGAAGATCGAGCTGCAGCCATTAGAGACCTACCTGGACACCTGGACCAGCTTGGGCAGGAGGGACGCGACCGCCGCACTGTCGAGGCCCCGCAGCTCAGTGACCAGTTTATTGAAGAGGTTGGCTCTCTGGGCGTTCTGCTCAGAGACGTGCAGCTGCTGGAGCTCCTGGAGGGTCTTGAGCACGGCCTCGGCCTGCTGGGGCAGTGCCGTGGACTTGGTGCTCTCAAAGGCGAGACCTGCCTCCTCGGCCCCTGGAAGGAGGAACGTGTCAGAGGTCTTCTTGCTTACCTCTTCGTCCCGACCCCATCTCGGTCCACCAGAAACTGGGAGTCAGCAGGGGATCAGCAAAGGGGAAAAGAAAAGACCCCTATCCTGTACTCCATGCCTGCTTTGTATCGGGCTCTGTGCCAGGTATGTGACTCCAGTGTTTCACTGACTCATCCTGCTAGCCCTGTGGGTGAGTAGTACTCCTCGATGTAAAGATGAGGGAACCAAGACCCAGATTTGAGCAACTCTCCTGTCTGAGACCTCTTGGGTCTAGGAGGCAGAGCTGGAATTGAATCCAGGCTTGTTTGAATCTGGCTCTACAATGACCTCTTCGCCCAAAAGAACCCATGAGGAGGTGCTGCAGCAGACAGAGCTACTGCCGAGGCTCGCCCATGATTTCTTCCAGCTGGATCTAACAGCAGAGCGTGGGGGAGGGGAGACCCTTTTGGGTCCCCCCCACTACCCTGCTCTGACCTGCTAGGGAAGAGGGTTAATTCACCATGGAAGTGTGGTGTGTTGGAAGAGTACTGGCTTATATCAGACCCAGGGGCTCATTGTGTACCACCTCTAATGTTCCATGACATTGAATACGTCACTCAGCCTCTCTCTGTGCCATCTCCCTCCTGTAGAATGAGTATTAAAGCGTACATTGTTACCACCTGACATCACAGGTTGCTGAGAACAATGAGGTAATGCCTAAGACGGATTTAAGTACAAGACAAATGAAGAGCTAGAGTCGGGTTTGCATCTCTTAAGTCCCTTCCAGCTCTAAAGACTGATTTCCCTCCCCAAAGGCCCTCCGCCACTTGCCCGAGGGTGTACGAGGCTGTCAGATCTACAGTAGACTTAGGAGGCCGGTTCCCTACTTACAAAAACCTAAGGAGCTTTGGGAAGCTTCTCCTTTCCTGGGTGCCATTGTCACTTGACACTCTGATGGGAACACGCTTTCTCTCCAGAGTAGCCCACAGCCAGAACACCAGCGCCCACTTAACCGATCAGTCAGCAGAGGTTTCACGGGGCCCAGCACGGAGCCGAGCCGTGACACGTGGGCCTTGGTGGGCAGAGTCCTCAGCCCTGGCAAACGTGCGAGCGGAAAGTCTCTCACCTTCCTCAAAGAAACGGCTGTTGATCTTGGGTGTGTCTTCAAGTTTCAGGGTCTGTGTGACCTGTGTCATCATCCCGTACTTGTTCCTGGAAGTGAAGGAAGGACACCAGGTGACAAAGGATGGCCAGCTCCCCGGAGCAACTTATCATGTTGAGTGCTTCCCTCGTCTCCACTTCCACCCAAATCCCGCCCACCTCTCAAGCCACGGGCAATCCAGACGTCCTGACCCGCCTAATTAACAGGACCCCCTCCTCCTGGTCACACTCACTGTCCTTCCAATAGAAGGACAAGTGTGCCTTACACTGTCGTCCAGCCTGGGGTGTCTAGAGGGCAAGGGACTAGCTGTGTGCCTTGAAATCCCTGTGTATCTCCCACCACACGGTGCTGAGAATATAATGGTTATCCCATAAACATTAGTTGATTGATCAGTTTTCAAAACAGATTTGGATACCTAGGTCTCCGGTCCAAATCCGAATTCCGAATCCTTCACAAAGCCTCTTTCTAACCAGGGCAGCCTGCCAAGGTCCCGGCTTTTTATGACCTGTAACTCTTAGAGTCTGGGTCTCAAATACCTTTTGTTGGTCTCAAATTGTTTTGAATGTCTAGGATTTTCCTAACAAATCCCCTGTTAGCTTGGAAAGCGGGACAGGGATGGGCTCTGCTGTGCACCTCGTCATGACCTAGCCTGGAACAGGGCAGCTGAGACGTATTCAGCTCACACAGACCCCACCGATAATGAGCCACGGGGCAGCAGGCAACTTACTCATGGAAGAAAGGCTGGAACAGGTGTTCTTCCTTGCAGGTGGCTTCTGACACATGCTTCCTCTTGGGGTCCAGGGTGTACTGGCAGGACTGGCTGCTGCTGATCTGAGTTGACAAGGGGTGGCTCTGCGAATGAGATGGGGAAAAGCACTTTGATCAGTCCCTGGGGCTTGAACCCGAGTCTTCCGCCGCAGGCATTGACCTTTCAGGAAGAAGGGGTGGGGTGGAGGGAGAGTGGGGATGCTGAACCACTGGACAAGCTCAGTTAAAGAGGAGAACTTGGCTCTTGACATCTAGACAAGAGGACGCAACAGCTTGGCATACCCGAAGCTGAGTCAAGCCATCGATTTCTTATTCTGCCTCAGTGGATACCTCACCCTGCACCAAGGGTGGGTAAAGACCTGACCCACCACACATCAGTCCTTCACACGCTACTGCTGCCCATGCTTCCTTTGCCTAGTAGTGCAGCCTTCAGTCCCTCTTGCAGCCGTCGGCTCCACCTCTTCCGTGCAACTTCTTCGAGCTAAACTCATTGATGCTCACCCGTCATTTCTTCTAACTGGATTTGCTAGCTGCTTAGCCCAACGCGCTTGGTGAACGGTGCCTTCTCCTCCGTGGTCAGGCCTAGGACTGCTCGTCTGCCCTGCCCAGCCTCTCACTTTGTATGATGCGCCAGGTACGGTCCTTCCCTGGCGTGCGTTTGAACCCTGCTCCTGCATTAGACTGTAAACACCCCGAGGGGAAGGTCCACACTCGTCCGCCACTGCCCCTCCCTCCAGGCTGCCCGGAGTAGGGCTGAGCACACAGCCGCTGTTCAGAAGAAAACACAGACACCAGTGCACTGGCCTCTTCTGGGCGTGGCTCTGGGGTCACCAGACTCCCTGTTTTCCCACCCAAGAACAGTGACCAGAAACATGGCCAGGCATGTCACGATTGCTCAAGTCCTTCATGTTTACGAAGATAAGCTGTGATTCATGTCCCAGAAGGTATCACAAGGCATTAGGCAAGCTCAGGTACCATGGTGCTACATGACCTCTGTGACTAGAGAAGGCCAGTACCGAGGGGGCAGCCCAGGGAGGAGGCCGCGGGCCAGGCATCGATCAGGGTCATGCATGGGATGGACAGACAGGACCCTGGAGTGCTCTCAGCCACGTGCCTCCATGGCAGTGGGAAACAGCAGAGCAGAGCACAGGTCTCGGGGCTTCCTTGGAGGCTAGGGGCTTAGAGCTGGGGACACCCAGCCCTTGCACAGGGGGAGCGGTAGGTGGCTTGCCCCCCTACATGAAGTCTTAGAGCCTTCCCAGGGGTGGACAGTCATTACTCTCAAGAGATGACAGAAGGTTGGGTACCAGTGACAGAATGGCAGCAGAAAGGACAGTGCTCTGGATGGGGAGTCAGAAACCTGACCCAGTCCTAGATCAGTTAAGAACAGGCCATGTGGCACTGGGCGGTCCTTTCCTTGTCTGGTCCTCAGTTTCCCGGTGTAGTCTATATGAAGAAGAGGCTGGGCAGGTTCTTCTCTGAGATTCCCTACTGGCTCTAGCTTCTAGAATTTTAATAATGAAGAGGATGGTGTGAAACTTACCATGCCTTTGATCAGAGCCAGGGGGCTCACCCCTGTGCTCACGGGCTCGAAGTGATCACACGTCTCCAGTTTTCTTTCGATGGATATTTCCGTCGCCACGCTCCCCTTCCTTGTTTTTACGGTAAAGTCACTGGAACAGTTTCCATACACAGTATCCTATGGGAGCAGAAGATGCGACAGGTGCATTCAATGTGGGAAAACATGTCTAAGTGCTTTGGGAGGGGCTGGGGAAGGCGCTTGCAAGAAAAGGCAGGAGCAGCATGGATTTGGGGGGATTTCTTCCTCCCAGGCAGAACGTGGGCACGGCAAGCGCCCGGCCAGCCAGAGGAGCCACAAGGACAACAGGGACAGCGGGTTTGATTCTGAGGGACAGGGGCCTGGCCGCTTAGGAGCCCGCCCACTCTGACTTTGGGCTCAGTGCACTCCCAGCACTGTCTCTACTGCTCATTTATGGCGTGTGCTCCAATCCACCTTGTGCTGTGGGTGCCATGGCTCTCACCACAAATCCTGAGAACTCTCTGCAGGAGGCAAGCCTGCATTCTCCAGCCGGGGTGCAGTCTAGAACTTAGAACACTGCAAGGGCTTGAAAATGGGTTGTGGGACTGCTCTCTCAGACTGAAACCTGAACTTCTGAAGTGAGGCTAGCAACCGATTCAGTTGCTTTTCTGTGTTTACGACACTCTTAGACTTCACTGTGTTACACTCTGCTGGTGTAACATGATATGACCAAGAGAACAAAATCAAACAAAGGCGTAGGGCGGTCCGGGCTCCCCAGAAACTGCTTTTAAGTGAGATCTGCTCAGGACAATCTCACAGTGACCCCAGAGGATGGGAGGTGGGGCCTTGGGCGCTGGTGTTTCACATGGTTGTAGGATCCCTGTGTAACTAGCCCCCAGCTAAGCCAGTGTAGACAGCAGGACACAGCACACACACGTGAACATGAGTCCAAAGGACCATTCTTACTGGCTTTCTAAATTCTCACCAGAAACAACACTTGCTTGGCCTCTTCCGTTTCCGGGGGAACCAGGAGGGCAGAAATGATGCCTCTCTTGACGTTCAGGATGTGTTTCGGCTCCTCTTTCTCCGGGTAGAGGACAACCCGTTTCCCTTCGGGCATGGCCAGCCTGAGCTCGTACCTGTCCCGGAGAGAGGGTGGTCACGGACTGTCCCCTCTCCATCACGAGCCTGTTTGCAGAAGCTGGGTGCTTCGCATCTTCTTTTTCACTTATTATTTTTACCTCTATTCTTTATAAGTATATCTCTATGTTTTAAAAAGGTATACAAATATGTGTGATTGGCATTCTTTTCTTTCTTTTCCTTTATTGCCGGCTCAGCTGTCCCCTCTGTATGCCCCCTCACAGCGGTGCCTCTAAAAAAACCCCCATCTACATACAAAGATTTTACCACTCCTTGTTTTGCACGAATGCATCGCATCATGCACACTTTTCTTTATCGCCCTTTCATCACTTTTACTCCATGAAAATCCTTCTGAGTCATTTGGTTGATCTCTAACAGACTTTTTTTCCTAAAAGACTGCAAAACATTGCATTCTGTGCTTACCTATAATTTATTCAGACATTCACCTATTCAACGGCAATCACTTTCTGGATTTTTGTTTTTGGCTACATGAACAACACTGAAATAAACATCTTTGTGCCTATATCTTCACGCATTTCTGTTTTTCTTTTCGTGGGCTGGAGTCCCACAGTTGGACTTTGCTGTGTCAAAGGCTGCAGCATTTTAAATGATCCCAGATGTCCGCTGACGGCGCCCCTTCCACCAGCGAGGCACGAAAGCTCGCTTTTCCTCGCAGACCCACCAGCAACAGGTGCTGGAGCTGCTTTAACGTCGTGTAGTCCCGTGCGGTGATACATGCCTCCCTACATTCATTGCATTTCCTGACGGCCAGTCCATTTGAGCTTCTTTTCATGCATGTGTTGGACGTTCACCCTTTGGTAGAGTCTCAGGCCGTGTCTGAGGCCCAGGCCACCTTCCATCTCAGGGATTTTCCTTTGGGCGCTTCCCACTGGGGGTTTCAAGGCACCTGGCTGCCCCTGCCCTAGTTATGTCGGAAGGGGGAGAAGGGGAGCAGGCACGTCTCCCGCAGCTCTGCACTCTCCTGGAAAGTTCCGGACACTGCGATGCAGGCTTGGGAAGCGTTGAGGTGGTCAAGGGCAGGAGTCCCTTTTGTGTGGAGGAGGGTAAGGGCCAACATGTGGCTACTGCCCACTCCCTTCCATCACTCACTGTGCCTGCTCCCCCACGCACATCTGAGTCTCAGCTTAAACACGGTGCCTGGGTGAGAGACAGCTGCCTCAGGCCTCCTCTGCCGACCAGGGGCTGGCTTCCTGGTCTAACGGTCAACAGGTTGAAAGGTGGGCAGGGAGTTTCCAGTGCTACCAGATCCACAGACCTATGACTGCCTCTATTTACACACTGATAGGACATTACAAACTGATTTGATGATAAGGCGGTTCAAAATATTTAGCAACTGGTACAGCTTGGCCACTGATGGGCTGGAAAAGATGGCAGCTGTAAGCCACAGGACCGGCCTGGTCAGGGCACTGGCAGATGCTCGGGCCTGGGCTCTCCCTGGGCTCCCTGAGGCTAGACCTTGACCCCCTCAGACCAGACCCTGCACCGCCACGTCCTGCTGGGACCCTCCCTGGAGACCACCACGCACCATTCCTGCTCGTCTTTACACAAGAATGCCCATGTCTAAACAAACCACCTCAGCTTTAGTATCTCAAGGAATGAAAGCATGAGATCTTCTAGAAACACAGTTAAATGGTAATTAGGGGAACTTCACTAGGGGAGAGTAAATAATGCTTTCCTCTGTTGGATGGTCATGAAAACTCAGCAATTAATTCCCTGATCCATGGTGAATGCAGACTACAAATACTTACAAGTATGCCTGCTATGAACACACACACTCATACGTCAGTGGACACACACACGCCCTCACTCACAACACATGACAACACCCACAGAGCCTGAAGTGCGCAGGCCCACGCCTCACCTGGACATGGCCTCGGAAAACTCGTCCGAGCTCCTGGCCTTCTTCAGCACGGCCCTGCCCTCCGGGCTGAAGCTGTGCACCTCTCTCAGGGTGCACTGGCTTGTCCTCAGGATGAAGCTGCAGAGCTGGGGAACCTCCAGCTCGACCTAGAAGACAACGGTGCAGCCCATGAAGGCCCTCCATCGAGACTATGAGATCCCCATTCCGACCCTGGGGCCCAGGGATTCCTCCCTAAGCAGGACACCAAGGGGAACGCTGCAGGGGAATGTGACCTCTGCTCCCCAGCACCACAGGTGTCTTTAAAAAGCCTCATGAGTTCTCCATGGATCATCCTACACGGAGTCCTGCTTGTGATCTTCCCCATGTTCTGGGGCACCAGGTCCCTAAGCATGTGGGTGCAGAGGAGGGCATCTTTTTGTCTGTTTACAACTGATTAGAAGACATGTAGCCTAGGAAGGAAGTGAAGAAGCAAACCAGAAGCAGGAGGGCTATCACTGGTTTTAACAGCAAAGGTTTCCTTAAAGTCCCCCCCGACCCCAATCCAAAAAAATCAAACCATTTGCATCTATTAGGGACTCTTTAAACCTTTGCCTGTAGCTGGTGTTTAAACAGATCCCTGGGTATTATCCAGAAATGTTCAAAGAGCTTCCCGCAATGACGGAAAGGTTCTACGTTTGCACTGTCTCGTATGGGGGACACCAGCCCTGGGTGGCTACTGGGCCCTTGAAACATGGCTATTGTGACTAAGAAACAGACTTTTTACTTTTATTCAATTAAACAGCCACATGTGGCTAATGGCTACCTTATCTGGCCACACAGACAGTGGGGCCCGAGAAAGAAGAGGGCAGCCCCCTGGCCCGGTGTCCCCAAACGAGCCCCAACAGTGAACCTTGCACCTGCTTCCCGTGAACATGACCACGAGTACAACCAGTCTCAATGAGCAACGTTTCCTTTGAGGACAAATTGCATATTGGCCTTTTTCCTTTTCCCGTTTGTTTGAAGTGAAGAGATGCTATTTTGGATTTCAGAAACTGCTCTCCAGGATGCTTTCCTGAGATGCCCGCTCCCTCTGCCCCCCACCGGGCTTCTCCCATCGTGGCCAATGGACTCTCCCGGAGTGCCGATGTTCTAGATCGCGTGTTACAGTGACATCTCGGGAGTGGGTGGGGGAATACATCTGGTTGCTAACATTTTTTTGTAGCAGACCACTTGTCGGCAAAGTGGCTGACTTTCACACTGAGGGCGAGGTGTCGGCACTTCGAGACGACGGACGTCTCGGCACGAGCCGGGTTTGCCCAGCAGCGGGCTCCAGGGCCTCGGGTGGTTCCCGCCACCCCCCCCGTCTCCCCTCATACCTTGCAGTTGATCTTGGTGACGCTTCTGGAGTCCGCTGTCCCGGGAACCCCGCTGGAACTCTCAGCTTCGTAGTTGTAGACGTATTTCCTAAGGTGCTTGAATCGGGTTGCATCTTCTAAAATGAGGAGAAAGGAGTCAGCCACATAGTGGAAATAACTCCCCTAAGGACCAGTATGGGCAGAGAGGGGCAGGGCCACAGATAATAAAAAAAAAAAGGTAATTAAACTCAAATTCTCTTAACTGACTTTATATTATACTAAATTTTTCTTTGTAGACTTAACTTCTCCACTTTGTTTTGGTGAGGTTAATGTTTAAATCATCTGGAATTCCATGAATATATCATCTGAGATACAAGGAGGCAATTTTCAAGTAATAGAGCTCAGAAAGTCTATAGGAGAAGGCTGAAAAATTAAGTGTTGAGAGCTTTTTCAGCTTGAAAATAGTACACTTCTGTGGCTCTTTTTTTTGGCTCTACTAAATACCTAAAGCAAAGTTTATTAAGCATTAGGGGTAGATGCTGACTGAGGAAACCCCAAGAAGGAATATCTGGGTGTTTCCACTGCTTCAGAGGAATTTGCCCAACAATTTGAGAAAAACAGAACCTTTGAGTCATGAACCCAGATGCAGTGATGGCAGATGCCCAGAAGAGGGCAGTGCTGCCCCACCATAGGCCAGCCTCAGCTCTCAGGAGAACTCGGTACCACTGCAAGGCCAGCTCCCTTGACCCCTAGGGGTCAGGTAAATACAAAGGGGTGGGCGTCTGGGTTTGTGCACAAAGGTTAAAGTCAGCATTTCCACACCCTCATGTGCTCTGAATCAATAACTAGCCACTGATCAACAGGATGGTGATGTCTCAAAGTTTCCAGGCAGGGGCCAACAGAGTGGCATTCCTTTCCCAACACAACCCCTGGCCGTGGACAGAGGCAGAAGGTCGGGCAGAAGAGGGTCCAGACCCCTTAGGGGTGGGCAGAGCTTTCTTGGGACTCAGCACAGTGTGCGTCAGTTACAGCATGACAGCAGCCCGGGGTGCCGGTGGGTGGGTTGGGGTTTGGGGGTGCCCGGCCTTGCCCGGGGGGAAACGCCTTACTTGGACAGATGGGGCTGACATTTTCCAGCACTTCGTCTTCTGTAAGAAATGGAGAAAGACAACTGTGGGTTTTTTCCCATCTTCGGGGTGGATCCTAGGGAGGACCCCTGCCTGCACACGCCTTTTCTCTTCCCGGAGGAAGCGAGGTCTGGAGAAGCTGCTCCCCAGCCCCTCCATCCCCCGCCCCCACCCCTACTCCCGTCCTGAGGCTGGAGGAGCCACCCACCCACCCTGTCCCCCTGTCTGTCGACTGTGACTGCCCTCCGTCTGACCCAGGTCCAAGCGGCCCTAGCCGCCCCTCCTGCTCCTGGTTTTGTGCCCTCTGGCTAGATTCTTGGATATGCCCCAGGCTGCATCCCGGCGGGGCCAGCGGGTGGGGTGGCGGGGTGGCGGGGTGGCCGCCGCACTCACCTGCGCGGGCGCCTGCAGCCAGCAGCAGCAGCAGCAGCAGCAGCGCCGGCGGACGCAGCGCGGGCCCCGGCGGGCCCATGGCCGAGCTGGCGGGTCTTGGCTTTACGTCGCTCGCTGTCTCCTCCACACGGACCGGCACCCACAGGCAGCCTCTGCGCGCCCAGGTGAGAATGCACGACCGGAGTCCACACCCTATTTATTGGAGGCCGCCCGCCCAGGGCCACCGCAGCCTGGCTTAAAAGAGAGGCCAGCAAATTGCAACAGGTCCAAAGGGCAGCTTCCCGGCCTGTTTGCTTTGGGGCTCTTCTCTGAGCCAGAGGAGGGGCCCGGCAGCGGCAGGCAGCGAGGGGGATCAGCTGGGACCTACTCAGGCCCCACCGGCTCTTTCCTGCTCTGGCCTTTCCTGGGGGTTTCAGAGGGTGGGGCTGTGAGGACAGTGGGCCTGGCACCCGAGAAGACCGCCCTGACCTGGCAGTGCCTTCGGATGACCAGGCACAGGGGACAAAGCCCACCCCTGTGCCCTGCTCTCTGTTCCGACTTAGTAGCCATCCAGCAAGCCAGCCCTTCACAGCGCTTTGGCGGGGACATTTCCCTCTCTGATCTTTCCCACTGTGGTGGATTTGGGGTGCCTGGGCGCCCCTAATCCTGATCGTTACCCATGGCTGTGGTTACCCGCTCTGGATGCAGCCCGTGGGGAGGGAGTGGCGAGAGAGAGGGGAAGGGGGGAGGTCTGGTGAGTGACTGACCCTAAGTCACTCTCAGGAACAATGAAGTCACTGTCTCAGCAGGAGCTAGGGGCCCGGATCTTCCAGAGCCCCCCGTGAAGTGCACCCCACCCCCAGGAGACCACCCCCATCCAGACCCCACCCCCTTGAGCAGGGTCTTATTGGCAAATTGAGAGGAAGAGCCTTTCCCCTACATGAACCAGCTCCCGGGTTTCCTCCTGAGATGGGCAGGCCGGAGACGAGAAGGAGAGTAGTGGACTGGACATGCCACGTCCCTCCTAAACCTCCTGGAACCTCCTCCAGGAATCCTTCCTTTCCCGCAGAAGATGTTCCCCAAGGCGCCCTTCCTCCGCCCACCTGCGGGAAACCAGGCTGTCTGGGCTGGCCCAGCCACGCTGGTTTGACTGACGCCGAAGCCACCTTCCGGGGGATGGGCGGGGTGGTCTGACACTGGCTGTGTCCACAGGACACCTCCAGGCTGGTTGGGGAGACCAGATGTGTGGACAGGAAACTGCTGGTGAGCAAGGGAGGTAGGCTGTGAGCAGCGCAGGGCTGCGTGGGGCACACCGGCAGGAGGAGCGGGCGGGAGGGGGGCCAGGAGCGATGAAGAGGGACTGCGGACTGGGGACTACCCGAAGCCCCTGTTGCAGAGTCACTGATGTTATAGTCTGTTATTTGTGTGCTATATCCAGATGCGACCAGTCACTGGGGACTCACTGAAATCTGGAGGCAGGGCTGGTGGTTCCAGAGGGGCCGCGTTCTGAAACAGTAGTGGGGTATAAAGACCGCTGTTCCCGGCCGTGCTGCTGGCCACTGGGCCTCCACACTTCCTCTCATTCCTGTGCAGTGTCATTGTTTTTAACACGAAACCCCTGTGGGCAGCCAAACTCCCTTCCGTGGTCAGTTGCTTTGCATCTGTGGTGTATTAATATCGGAAAAGGAGGCTACGACAAAGGCTTCAACCCAAGGCTGGCCAAACCTACACCACTGGCTTGTGAAAGTTCTGGAAATACTAATTGCCCCAGAATGCCATTTCTCTTAGCATTAAAATTTTGTTTTCTTAATTTTATTATTCACTTACAGTTTACCCTCAGTAGTATTCTGTATCGGTTCCAGGTGTGCTGTCTGAGCACTTCCTTTGAACTGGTTTGTGCGGGCCGACTTGGCACAGAAGGAGCTGCTGTATTGTAGGAAACGGCCCCGCCCCCTGTGGGACCCCGCCCCATTCCCTAAGGAGAATGGCTGAGGACACTTCGCCACACAGAAGCCACATGGCTGACTTCCATTTGCCGGCACCAGTGCAGGCTACTTGTTGGGTGCCAGATCACCTCGCTGCTGTCCTACAGTCAGCGTCAGCAGGGAACATGACTTTCTACTGTTTGGGGCCCAAAATGAGTCTGGGAATTTGGGTGCAGGGAGAGCTTGTAGGGTGACCCCGAGGAAGCCTCAGACTGGGGTCAGCTTCTCCCTCTGCCCTCGGTTCCACTGGAAAGCCCTCCTGTGCTGGGCTTCCTACTCCTTCTCCGACAGGGTCGGCCATCCACCCGCATCCAGGGCACCTGTCGGATTGCCGAGTCAACCCGAGCAGACTCGCAGAGTGACTGTGAGGATTCGTGCACAGATTTTTCATAAATTGCAAAACCCACTGAGATCCGTTTTTCAAAAGCTGTTTGAAAATATAGCATGATCTGTGACCTCAGACGCCACCCTTCCTCCCGCCCCTCGAAGTAGGACCTTTCTCGATTCCCTCTCCTAAAACACGTTTTACGTTTCAAAAACATATGGCCCATTTTCACAGAGAAATCGAAGAGAGCATTACTCATTGAACGGAGAAAATGCTGGCCCGGAGAGGTCAGCTGTATGCAAAGGAAACCAGTGTGAGCTTCAGGCTCGCGAAGACCCGGAGTTGGGTCTTAGCTGGGCTCCTGGTGAGGTCTGAGACCTTGGGCAAATGTCTTCATCATCCTAGGCCTCTGTTTCATTATCCCCAACACAGGATGAGACATATTTACCTTCCTCATAGGAATTTTTATGCGAAGTCAATGAAACGATTAGTTCATAATTGCACTGACAGCGTGATTCCTGGCAAAACAAAACAAAACAAAACAAAACCCTGCGTGAATGGTAATGTGATCATTTCTTATGTGTGAGTCAGCGTGGAAGTGTATCTGTAGGGAACCTGTCTGAGCTAGCCAACCGCAGTGCGCAGGAAAACTGTGGCTGATGGAACAAAAAAACAGAATCAGGCCTGAGGAAAGGGATCAGGAGCAAAACCGGGCGTTCCTAGAGCTGTGAATAGCTGTGGCTGCCCGTGTGTTCGTCTCTGAAGATTCCTAACATTTCTGGGCACTTGAAATCTCTGTTCTCTTGCGGCGAAAAGGGGCCTTCCTCCAGCAGGCAAACTAGTGACTCTAGCAGGGACACGTTCTGGTGTCAGCAAGATTAATCTCAGTGAGTGGCTGTGCCTTATCAAGCTCATAGACGCCAAGTCCCATGGGGTGACCCATCAGTCTGAGTCATCACACGGCTCTGGGTACCAATTAGAAAGCGGTCTGACTGGGGGAATTTCGAAGACTAAGATGAGGCAGAATGTACCAGCGGTGGCCTCTGGAAGACAAACTATGCATGCTGTTTGTCTGCAGGTGACCAGAAGGGTCCTGGCCAAGTCCGGGGAACTGCGGACACTCTTCAAGGCCCCTGAGAAGGCCAACGTTCTGAGTTCAGTGTAGCTAATGTACTGAAATAAGTGTTCAGTACCTAATTTGGTGAATACAAATGAATGAATCTACCAGTCACGTACCCCATCGCTACCAGGAGATTTATGTACAGGGACCAGGATGCTAAATGACTCTTTCAGCGACACAAAACAAGGACATGAAACTTGATACAAATTACTTGCAGCTATGCTGTTCAAAAACACATTTGGCAAATAGGGACCAGTACCGACAATGACTAATTAGTTGATCCTGTTTTTGCCTATGACAGCATTATCATCGCCAGTGATGCCCAGAAGCTGGAAATTTCATAAACTTCGAGAATTGTAAAGGGAACTATATCCAGTGTGGCCTGTACTTGCCAATGGTAACACACGCGCGGGCATGCACACACACACACAAATGAGAAATATCAAGGAAAAAAATGAGGCATTTAGGTGAATGGCACAGGTGGGAGAGGGTGGCATGGGCCAGTGTCTACCAAGTGGAGACATGACTGATGCAGGACGAGCTTCCTGTGATGAGGCAAAAAGAAGTGGCCCCACTCTGTCGTCCTGCTCTCTAAGCGGTAATGTTGAGCAGCAGTCCTTTCTGGGGGAGAGAAGTCAGCAGTCAGCACTGCCCACCGCGCAGTGCCAGTGCCGTCCCGTGGGCGTGAGGTCTCCCTTCTTGGACCAAATGGATCTCGTCCCTTCCAGGCCCCGCCCCACCCCCCTTGCGGGCTCCAGCCCCGCCTACTGGGAGGAGCCTTTCCCTGGGCCTAGCTCTGTTTGACCTCGGGGCTGCTGACCCCGATCTCCTATCAGGTCCTCTTAGGGCAACTGATTCTGAAGGGCCTTCCTACAAACTACTGTTGCCCTGAACTTGTATTTTTCTCTAGTCATATGCTTTAATTTTCACCTGTTTATGTATTACCTTGCCAGCCAGATAAGCTTGGAGGACAAGACCCGTGTGCCGTTTTCACCTTTGTATCCCTCTCTCCTCACCCTCACCAATGCCTCATCCAGGCCGATGGGAGCTAAGGAGCAAGGACTGTGGTTACAATGTGGGATGGGTCTTGTGAGACAGGTTTTTGTTTCGTTTTCCACATGCACTTTGTTTTTACTTTTGGTTGCCGCTGCGTATGTTTAGTGTCGAATGTGTGGCGAATCTGGATCAGTGTGGGAGGGGGCAGGCTCTGGGAGCGAGGGTCGTGGGACAGTCTCCAAGACTCCAAGTGCAAGTTCCTCATCTATGCGATGGGTGGGACAGGACGAGGTGACCTCTTTGGCCCATTCCAGCTCTGACTACTTTGGCTCTACAAGGACTCGGCAATTACAAAAAAAGTTCATGCATTACATGGGACTCAACTGCATAGCAGTTAGGGGCTGAGGATTCAGGATCATTCAGCAGGATGAATTTTCTGGAAGGACACCTATCGCTATGGAGACTGACACCGCCTGAGAAATAGAACACGTCACCCACTTAAAACAGGTGTCCACCTAAGAAGATGACATGCCCTCCTGGGGGTGCTGGGGAACTCTCGGGAAGTTCTTCCTCATGTCTAGCTGTCGTCCTCACCCTTGCGTTGATCTGAGATGGGTCCTTCCTTAGTTTTTCCTTTGAATGCCTTTTTTCCTTGTTGACTTTTGTCAGTTACTATTTACCCATTTTTTGTTGTTATTTTCTTTATGTCCTCACAGGAGTAAGAACCAGACAGTACTGTCCTGATAAGGCTGAGAGTATGCTCATGATAAATAGATGGCTGGCTGAACAAACCTCACTGTG